CAGAAAACCCGCTTGCAGATGGAGGGATTCGACCCGCACCAGACCTCGGATCGCTTGTATTTCCTGGATCTAAAGCTGGGCAGATACGTGCCTCTGGATGAGCACCTTTACGAGCGGATCCAGGCGGGCAAAGCTGCCCTGTGAGCCCCTTTTGGAGGGGGCAACGCCACCTGAAGTGGAGAGGAACCCTGCGAGCTCCGCCTGCCTCTCCTCAAGCACCTTAACCCGGCGTCCTGCTCCCTCCCTGGGTGCTCACAGCCCCTTACCCCTGTGCCCAGCGCGGGGATGGGGGGGGCTTCACTTTAACCCCTTTTTAGCTCGTTTTTAACCACCCGCGGCCCCTGACTTTAGGGACGGAGCCCATGGAGGGGGTGCCCCGGCGTTCACCTGAGGCCTTGCGGAGCCCTCGTCGGTCCGAGGCCGAGCGGGTACCGGAGTAAAACCGCCTGCGCTCTGCCCGCTTCCGCCTCCTTCCTCCCGCCGCCGCCGGGACGCGAGGCCGGGGCTCGGGGGAGGCGGCGGGGCCGCGTAGGCCGCGGGTTGCTAAGCAACAGCGCGACACGGGTCGCTAAGCAACAGCGCGGCGCGCTTCGGTGACGTCACTTCCGGCGCGCAGCTGTTTTCCGCTATGGCTCCCGGTGCGGCCTGCCGCGTCTCGGTGCTCCGGGAGCCGGGCCCGGGCCTGGCGCGGTTCGTGGCCGAGCGGGCGGCGGCGGCAGCGGCCGGAGGGGGCTGCTTCACGTTGGGGCTGTCCGGGGGGAGCCTCGTGGAGCTCCTCAGCCTCCACCTGCCCCCGGCCCTCGAGTCCTGCCCCTCCGCGCCCGCCCGCTGGCTCCTTGCGTTCTGCGACGAGCGCTTGGTGCCTCCGGAGCATCCGGACAGCACCGCCGGTGCCTACCAGGTGAGGGCCGCGGCCAAGGAGGGGCCTCCGGGCCGGCCCCCCGCTCCGCTGACTCCCCCCCCTCCCTCGGTGTCCGCAGGCCCGGCTCCTACCGCGCCTGCCCGGCCCCGGCCCCGGCCCGCAGGTGCTGGCTCCCAGCCCCGGCCTGGCCCCCGCCGCTGCCGCCGCCGACTACGCCGCGAAGCTCCGGCAGGTACCGGCCCCATAGGCCCGGGGATGGGGACGGGGATGGGGGGGAGGGCGCGTTCCTGGCCCCATCTCCCGTTCCCGGCCCCATCTCCCGTTCTGGCCCCGTCTCCCATTCTCGGCTCCATCTCCCCTTCTCGGCTTCCTTAATCTCCCGTTCTTGGCTCCATTTCCCGTTCCCAGCCCCATTTCCCAATCCCGGCTCCATCATCTCCCGTTCCTGGCTTCATCATCTCCCCTTCTCGGCTCCATCTCCCGTTCCCAGCTCCATTATCTCCCATCCCCATCTCCCGTTCCCGGCTCCATCATCTCCCATTCTCTCCATAGGCATTCCCGGGAGAGGCCGTGCCCGTGTTTGATTTGCTGCTGCTGGGGATTGGGCCCGATGGACACACTTGCTCCCTCTTCCCCGACCACCCCCTGCTGCAGGTGAGGCCAGAGCCGAGGAGGGGGCAGACACAGTACCCCCCCCCCAGTGCTGTAACCGGTAACTCGCACCCTTTGGGGTGGAAGGAGGGGGGGTGGTAACACAAAGGAGGGGAAAAGCTGCTGACATTGAGGTTATCCCTGAAGTTACCCCTCAGTTTATCCCCATTTGGGTGATTTGGGAGCCAAGTGGAGATGCAGAAGGGTTGAGGCCCCTCTGTCCCCTTCGGCTGCTCTCCCCCCCTCCATTGATGCTCAGAGCCCCAGTTCTCCCTTTGCCATGGGGTTTCCCTCCCTTTTTTCCCCCCTTCCCCATAGGAGCAGGAGGCCGTGGTTGCTGCCATCACCGACTCCCCAAAGCCGCCACCGGAGCGCATCACATTCACACTGCCGGTGCTCAACGCAGCCAAAGCCGTGGTGTTCGTGGCCACGGGCGAAGGCAAAGCTGCTGTGGTCAAGGTTTGCATCCAACCTCCTCCCATCCATTGGGAAACCAGAGCTTCCCAGTGGGGACCGACCCCTAAAGCGCCCCTTGGAGCTTCCCTTGTTCCTGAGGCTCTCTCCCATCTTTCCCACCAGCGCATCTTGGAAGGGGATGAGGAAAACCCCCTTCCCGCTGCTCGGGTCCGGCCTCACTCGGGGCAGCTCTGCTGGATCCTGGATGAGGCAGCAGCCAAGGAGCTGACGATCCCGGTGCAGAATTCCATCCTATAGAGCCAGTGATGGGGGGGATCAGCTCTGTGACATTCCAGGTGAGGAACGTGATCGTTATAGCCCAAAATGCTGCTTCTTTCCCCCTTCTTTCCTAGACCAAACGGTGCTTGGCCAAGTGCAGGCTCCCGACTCGGAATTCCTGCAGTTTGGAATGGTGTCATGGGGCTTCGGTTGGGTTGTGCTGTATTAAAGGGATGGATTCCAGCTCTGCTGCTGCTCCTGGTTCTTTTCCCACCCGGGGCTGTGCTCTTCCCTAGGGGAAGGATTGAGGTGAAGGCGCAGGGGTTGTGAGGATGCATGGATGCTCTGGCTCGGTTTTCCTTGCTGGAATGTTGGATTTGGCTTTGTTAATCCCGACTTTAACCACGCTTCAGTTCTCGCCTAAGCCTTGCGTCAGTGGCTCCTTCCTACCTGGGTTTGTTTCCTCTGTGCACAATGGGAAGCTTTTAGCTTCCAGTTATCAGCATGGAATCATGGAATGGGTTGGGACCTTAAAGCTCCCCCAGCTCCAGCCCCTTCCACTGGAGCAGGGTGCTCCAAGCTGCATCCAACCCAGCCTCGAACAGGGATGGGGCATCCCAACCTTCTCCATCCAACGCATCCCAGTGTCCCAGCGCCCTCCCAGGGAAGAGCTTCTGCCTAAGAGCTCGTCTCCATCCAGACTTAACTCCAGCAGCTCCGCATCCCAGAAGTGCCAAACCAGTCCCAAAACAAGGAATTCCCTCACTTTAACACCATTGCCCAAAGGATGACGAAGGGGCCAAGCCCCACATCCCACACATGGCTGATGGCTCCTTGGGATGCCCATCCAGATGCCAGCGAGCAGGAGCTGGAGGTGAGGCCGCTGGAGCCTGCATGGAGGTGGGGGTGGGAATTCCACTGTGGAAAATGGGCTCAAACAAGCAGGTTTTGGTCCAGCAAGGAACGCTGCCTCCTCCCCTCTGTGCCAGCACCTTGGCTCCGGCGCCCTGCCTGCAGAAAGGAGCTTTTCAGCCAAGCTCCGGCTGCCAAACCACAGCCCGATCCCAGCCAGCATCCCAAAGGCTGCTTCCAGAGGGGCTGGTCTGGGTTATCCCAGCTCTTTGGGACCTTTTGGCTGTTTCCTAAAGCCTTCTCCATTCTCTATATTCCCTGTTATATTCCCTGTTATATTCCCTGTTATATTCCCTATTATATTCCCTATTATATTCCCTATTCCCTATTATATTCCCTTTACATTCCCATTTATATTCCCTTTACATTCCCTTTTATATTCCCTTTATATTCCCATTTATGTTCCCATTTACATTCCCATTTATATTCCCCTTTACATTCCCTTTTACAGTCCCCTTTACAGTCCCCTTTACATCCCCTTTACATTCATTCCCCTTTACATCCCCTTTACGTTCCCCTTTACGTTCCCTTTGTATTTGCCAGCCAAAGGCTGGATCAATCCCCCCCATAGCGCATCCCAAGGGGACGTTTTGGAGATGAAGGATGCTCTTCCCCAGGGACAACAAGGTCCTCTGGTACCCAAGGGCACTGCCAATCCCCTGCTGGCGTTTTGGGGCTCTTTACCCCATTCCCATCAATCCCAAAGCACTGGGAATGCTGGGAATCCACACTCCCCCCTCCCCTGCTGTAGTACAAGAGCTCAGTGTTCCCTGCCAGGTTCTCACTGCTGCTCTTCCAGACGTGGCCGAGATCCAGGGACTGGAAGCACTCAACAGCGATTCCCATGGCTGCGCATCCCAACATCAGCCCAGATGTGCGCTTTGCCTGCTCCTGCATCCCAAAGCTCCGCTATTCCTGGCTTGTTTTCCTTCCCTCCTCCTCTCCCCCCCCTGCTGTTGGGAGCAGCCAAAGCTCCCACTGGAGCTCATATTCCAGGCCTGATGTCATGGGAGGGCTCCAGCTGGGAACAAGGGAGCTTTGAGGAGCAGGATGCAGCCGCCCTATGGAAACACGGAGCTAAACCCAGGCTCTGCGGGTTTGGAAGTTGAAGTTTGAGGTTTTTTTTTTTCCCTTGGAAGGAGGATTTTGAAGGTGAAAGAGTTGGAATTTAGAGGGGAAATGCTTGAAAGTAGCGCTGGGGAGGGAAAAACACTGGGATTGGGGAGGGAAAAGGCTTGGGAGTGGGATTTTGACAGTAAAAGTCCTTGGGAACACAACGTCTTGAAGGTAAAATCCGTGCTGCCCCTTTGTGACCCCCCCCCCCCGGACAGCAGAGCCGGGCATGGATCCAAGTGGATCCTATTGGAATGATGGGAACTGGTGTGGAGCGTGCCTGGATGGGGAAGGGGGGGGCAAAGCCCTGGGGCTCCATAGGGCAAGGGGAGAGGAGAATGGGGCAGGAGGGAGAAGGGGGGAGAGAGGGAATGGGGGGGGAAGGAGCAGGAACGGGGGAGATGGGAATGGGGGGCATGGGAATGGGGGAGATGGGAATAGGTGGGAGCTGGAATGGGAGAGATGGGAATGAGAGAGATGGGAATGGGTGGGAGCTGGAATGGGGGGCATGGGAATGGGGGAGATGGGAATGGGTGGGAGCTGAATGGGGGGCATGGGAATGGGGGAGATGGGAATAGGTGGGAGATGGGAATGGGGGAGCCGGAATGGGGGGCATGGGAATAAGGAGATGGGAATGAGGGAGATGGGAATGGGGGACCTGGGACTGTGGAGCTGGGAATGGGTGGGAGCTGGAATGGGGCGGGTGAGCAGGGGGACGAAGGGGGGGCGAGGGGCGTGGCCTACACCAAGGGGCGTGGCGTGCCCTAGGGGGCGTGTCCAGGGGGCGGAGCCGCGGCCCATGATGGCGGCGGGGCCGTGGCCGGCGCTGCTGCTGCTGCTGGCGCTGGGGTCGGGGCCCGGTCCCAGCCCCGGGGCCCTCGGGTACTTCCCCGAGGAGCGCTGGAGCCCGGAGTCGCCGCTGCTGCCGCCGCGGGTGACGGTGGCGCTGCTGGCCAGGAACGCGGCGCATGCGCTGCCCGCCACGCTCGGAGCCCTGGAGCGGCTGCGGCACCCCAAGGAGCGGACAGCGCTGTGGTGAGGGAGGGGGGAGCCCGGGGGAACGGGACAGGGGAGAACGGGACATGGGGGACACAGGGGGATCGGAGGTACCGGGGCATCAGGACATGGGGGAACGAGACATGGGGACACCATGGGGGAGCGGGAGGTACCGGGATAACGGGACATGGGGGATCGGAGGTACCGGGGCATCAGGACATGGGGGAACGAGACATGGGGTCACCATGGGGGAGCGGGAGGTACCGGGATAACGGGACATGGGGGATCGGAGGTACCGGGGCATCGGGACATGGGGGAATGGGACATGGGGACACGGGGGAACGGGAGGTACCGGAATAACGGGACATGGGGGATCGGAGGTACCGGGGCATCGGGACATGGGGGAATGGGAGGTACCGGGACATGGGCGGGCAATGGGACACGGGGACAGCGGGACATGGGCGAGATGGAGACCGGGGGGGGGGGATGCACTGGGATAACGGGACACGGGGATATAGGGGATGGGAGGGGTGGGGACCTGGGGGGAGTGCACTGGGATAACGGGACATGGGGACACCGGGTAACGGGAGGGACGGGGCCCTGCGGAGGCAACGGGACACCGGCAGGGGGCACTAGGACCCGGGGCAGCGGGGGTGGGCACTAGGACCCGGGGCAGCGGGGTGGGCACTAGGACCCGGGGCAGCGGGGGTGGGCACTAGGACCCGGGGCAGCGGGGTGGGCACTAGGACCCGGGGCAGCGGGGTGGGCACTAGGACCCGGGGCAGCGGGGTGGGCACTAGGACCCGGGACAGCGGGGGTGGGCACTAGGACCCGGGGCAGCGGGGGTGGGCACTAGGACCCGGGGCAGCGGGGGTGGGCACTAGGACCGGGGCAGCGGGGGTGGGCACTAGGACCCGGGGCAGCGGGGGTGGGCACTAGGACCCGGGGCAGCGGGGGTGGGCACTAGGACCCGGGGCAGCGGGGGTGGGCACTAGGACCCGGGGCAGCGGGGTGGGCACTAGGACCCGGGGCAGCGGGGGTGGGCACTAGGACCCGGGGCAGCGGGGGTGGGCACTAGGACCCGGGGCAGCGGGGGTGGGCACTAGGACCCGGGGCAGCGGGGGTGGGCACTAGGACCCGGGGCAGCGGGGTGGGCACTAGGACCCGGGGCAGCAGCGGGCCCGGGTTGGAGCCTGAGCGCGCAGGGTGGCCGCGGACCACAGCGTGGACAACACCACGGCCCTGCTGCGGGAGTGGCTGCTGCGCATGCGCGGCCTCTACCACCACGTGGAGTGGAGACCCCAGGAGGAGCCGACGTGAGCGGAGGGGGGGGGGGGGGAAGGGGAGGGGGGAAGGGGGGGGGCAAGGGGGGGGGTAAGGGGGTCCCGATGGGGGGGGCAAGGGGGGTCAAGGGGGTCCCTATGGGGGGTCAAGGGGGGTCCCTATGGGTGGGTCAAGGGGGGGGTCAAGGGGGTCCCTGGGGGGGGTCAAGGGGGTCCCTATGGAGGAGGGTCAAGGGGGGGGCTCAAGGGAATCCCTATAGAGAGGGGTCAAGGGGGTCCTTATGGGGGGGTAAAGGGGGGGTCAAGGTGGGGGTCCCAAGGGGGTCCCTATTGAGGGGGTTCAAGGGGGTCCCTATGGGGGAGGGTCAAGGGGGGGCTCAAGGGGGTCCCTATGGGGGAGGGTCAAGGGGGGGGCTCAAGGGGGTCCCTATGGGGGAGGGTCAAGGGGGGGGTCATGGGGGTCCCTGTAGGGGGGTCAAGAGGGTCTCTATGGGGGGGTCAAGGCCCCCCCCTTGGTTCAGCTGCTCCCTGTGGGTGCTGGGTCTCAGGGTGGCTCAATGGGTGCTGATGGGGTCCCCCTCTGCCCCCCTTCCCCTTGTGTGTGTGTGTCCCCCCATAGCTCCTACCCCGACGAGGAGGGCCCCAAGCACTGGTCCCCGCTGCGCTATGAGCACGTCATGAGGCTGCGGCAGGCGGCGCTGGAGGCTGCTCGTGCTGCCTGGTCCGATTACCTGCTGGTGAGGGGGGGCCCAGCACAACGATGGGGCTTGGAGGGGGCACACAGAGCACCCATGGGTGCTGACGGCTCCCATTGGGTGCTGACGGCTCCCATTGGGTGCTATGGGGGTGCAGTTCCTGGACGCTGACAACGTCCTCACCAACCCTGACACCCTGGGGCTGCTGATGGCCGAGAACAAGACGCTGGTGGCGCCGATGCTGGACTCGCGGGCGGCTTATTCCAACTTCTGGTGCGGGATGACGGCGCAGGTGAGGAGGGGGGGTGCTGGAGCCACATCCCTTGGGTACCAGAGGTGGGAGCTGCATCCCTTGGGTACCACAGCTGGGGGCAGCATCCTTTGGGTACCACAGCTGGGGGTGCATCCCTTGGGTACCACAGGTGGGAGCTGCATCCCTTGGGTACCACAGCTGGGGGCAGCATCCTTTGGGTACTGCAGTTGGGCGCTGCAATCTTTGGGTACCACAGCTGGAGCCACATCCCTTGGGTACCACAGCTGGGGGTGCATCCTTTGGGTACCACAGCTGGGGGCACATCCTTTGGGTACCACAGTTGGGATCCGCATCCTTTGGGTACCACAGCTGGGATCCACATCCCTTGGGTACCACAGCTGGGGGTGCATCCTTTGGGTACCACAGCTGGGCCTGCATCCCTTGGGTACCGCAGCTGGGATCCACATCCCTTGGGTACCACAGCTGGGGGTGCATCCTTTGGGTACTGCAGTTGGGATTCGCATCCCTTGGGTACCACATCTGGGCGCTGGATCCCACATCCGGTGCTGCATCCTTTGGGTACCACATCTTGGTGTTGCGTGCCCTGGGTCCCAGATCTGGATCCCACATCTGGTGCCACATCCCTTGGGTACCACATCTGGGTCCCACATCCGGGTCCCACATCCCTTGGGTCCCACCTCTGGTTCCCATCCCTGTCCCCCCCCCCCCGCAGGGTTACTACCGCCGGACCCCCCTGTACCTGCCGGTGCGGCGCCGGGAGCGCCGCGGCTGCTTCGCGGTGCCCATGGTGCACTCGACCTTCCTGCTGGACCTGCGCCGCGCCAGCGCCGCCGCGCTCCGCTTCCACCCGCCCGGGCCCGACTACACCGGGGCCCTGGACGACATCATCGCCTTCGCCTACGCCTGCCGGAGCGCTGGTGAGAGCGGGGAGCGGGGACTGGGAATGAGGGGAGCAGGGAGCGGGAGCAGGGAATCAGGATCAAGGAATCAGGATCAGGGAATGATGGGAGCGGGGAGCGGGAGCAGGGATCGGGAGCAGGGAACGATGGGAGCAGGGATCGGGATCAAGGAATCAGGATCAGGGCATGATGGGAGCATGGATTGGGATCAGGGAACGATGGGAGCAGGGATTGGGATCAAAGAATCAGGATCAGGGAATGATGGGAGCAGGGATTGGGAGCAGGGAACGATGGGAGCAGGGATCGGGATCAAAGAATCAGGATCAGGGAATGATGGGAGCAGGCATTGGGAGCAGGGAATGATGGGAGCAGGGATTGGGATCAAAGAATCAGGATCAGGGAATGATGGGAGCAGGCATTGGGAGCAGGGATCAGGAGCAGGGAATGATGGGAACAGGGATTGGGAGCAGAGAATCAGGGAATGATGGGAGTGGGGCATTGGGAGCAGGGGATCCCAATCCTGATCCCAGTCCCAATCCTGATCCCAATCCCAATTCCCATCCTGATCCCAGTCCTAATCCTGATCCCAGTCCTGATGCTGGTCCTGATCCTAATCCCCATCCTGATCCTGATCCTAGTCCCAATCCTGATCCCAGTCCCGATCCTGATCCCAATCCCGATCCCCATCCTGATCCCAGTCCTAATCCTGATCCCAGTCCTGATGCTGGTCCTGATCCCAATCCCCATCCCGATCCCCATCTCCATCCCCATCCTGACCCCGCTCCGCTCCCTCCCCAGGGGTGCAGATGTTCGTCTGTAACCGGGACGTTTACGGGTTCCTGCCGGTGCCGCTGCGCTCCCAGAGCTCCCTGCAGGAGGAGGCCGAGAGCTTCCAGCACGTCCTGCTCGAGATCATGGGTGAGGCCCGACCCCATCGCCCCCCCCCGGGAGAACCGTTCCCTAGGGAGCCGTTCCCTATGGAGCCATTCCCTATGGAGCCCTTCCCATGGAGCCATTCCCTAGGGAACCGTTCCCTATGGAGCCATTCCTATGGAGCCATTCCCATGGTGCCATTCCCTAGGGAACCGTTCCCTAGGGAGCCATTCCCTATGGAGCCATTCCCATGGAGCCATTCCCATGGAGCCATTCCCTATGGAGCCATTCCCATGGAGCCATTCCCTAGGGAACCGTTCCCTATGGAGCCATTCCCTAGGGAGCCATTCCTATGGAGCCATTCCCTAGGGAACCGTTCCCTAGGGAACAATTCTTATGGAACCGTTCTATATGGAACAATTCCTATGGAGCCATTCCCTAGGGAACAATTCCCAGGGAGCCATTCCCTAGGGAACAGTTCCTATGGAGCCATTCCATATGGAGCAGTTCCTATGGAGCCGTTCCCTATTGAACAAGTCCTATGGAGCCATTCCCTATGGATCAGTTCCCTATGGAGCAGTTCCTTATGGAGCATCCTTTATCCTCCCCTAGTGAAGAACCCCCCCGCAGAGCCGTCCCCCCACGTCTGGGTCCCCCCCAAGGTCCCCGACAAGATGGGATTCGATGAGGTGAGGATTTGCCCCCCCACCCCCATATCCAATGGGATTTGGGCCCCTGCCCCTGTATCCAATGGGATTTGGGATGGGGGGGGTCCCCATCCTGCTCTGATGGATCTGGGGGGGTCCCAGGGATTTGGGGGATTTTTTCCCCCTTTTCATGGATTCTTGGGGATTTTTCCCGTTTTCTGGAATTTTCAGGGTATGTTTCCCATTATTTTGGATTTTGTTGTTTTTTGTTTTTTTTTTTTCCCCGTTTCTTGAATTTGGAGATTTTTCCCCTTTCCTTGGATTTGTGGGTTTGTTTTTTTTCCCTTCTCTTTAGTTTTGTTTTTTTTTTCCTTGAAGTTTTGGGGGTTTTGTTTCCCTTTTCTTGAATTTTTAGGTTTTTTTCTGTTTTTTTTTTAATTTGGGAGCTTTTCTTTCCCCTTTCTTGAATTTTTGGGGTTATTTTTAATTTTTCTTGAATTTGGGATTTTTTTCACGCTGTTTTCTTTGATTTGGGTTTTTTTTCCCTTTTCTTGAGTTTTGGGGGTTTTTTTCCCCTTTTCCTGAACTTTTGGGTTTTTTTCCTTTTCTTGAATTTCTGGTGGGTTTTTTTTTCCTGTTTTCTTGATTTTTTCCCTTTTCTTGAATTTTTCAAGTGTTTTTTTTTTCCTTTTCTTGAAATTTTGCGTTGGTTTTCTTTTGTTTTCTTGGAATTTGGGGGAGTTCTTTTCTTGCTGTTGAATTTTGGCAGTTTCCCCCCTTGAATTTTGTTTTTTTTTTCTCTTGAATTTTTAGGATTTTTTTCTGTTTTCTTGGAATTTGGGGCTTTTTCCCTCTCTTTTCTTGAATTTTTGGGATTTTCTCCCCTTCTCTTGAATTTTGGGTTTTTTTTCTGTTTTCTAGGGATTTTTGGGAATTTCATTCTTTCCATTGAATTTTTGGGCCTTTTTCCCCTCCTTTGCTCATTTTTGGGATTTTCTCCCCTTTTTTGAATTTTTTTGTTTGTTTTTTTTTTCTTCTGTTTTCTAGGGTTTTGGGGGAATTTCTTTCTTTTTATCGAATTTTTGGGCCCTTTTCCCCTTATTTTGGGGATTTCCCCCCCTTTTTCTAAATTTTTTGATATTTTTTGTGTTTTCTTGGGATTTCGGGGAATTTCTTTCTTTTTATCAAATTTTTGGCCCTTTTTCCCTCCTTTCCTCATTTTTGGGATTTTTCCCCCTTTTTTGATTTTTTGGGGTTTTTTTCCTTCTGTTTTCTTGGGATTTTTGGGAATTTCTTTCTTTCCCTCCAATTTTTTCCCCTCTTTCCCCTCCTTTCCTCATTCCTGGCACCCCCCCATTCCCCCCCATTGGGTTCCTTCTCCCCGGCTCCCTCCGGTTCTCTCTCCCCAGGTTTTCCTCATCAACCTGCGGCGCCGCTCCGAGCGCCGGGCGCGGATGCTGCGGTCGCTGCGGGAGCAGGGCATCGCCTGCAGGCTGGTGGAGGCCGTGGACGGGAGGTGAGGGCGGGGCTGGGGAGGGGACCGCCCCCGTTGCCATGGCAACGGGATGCAGGCGGTGGCGTTGCAGGGCCATGAACAGCAGCGAGGTGGAGGCGCTGGGCATCCGGATGCTGCCGGGGTACCGGGATCCCTACCACGGGCGCCCGCTCACCAAGGGGGAGCTCGGCTGCTTCCTGAGCCATTACCGGGTCTGGCAGGAGGTGAGAGCGGATCCCGGGGGGAATGGGGGCAGGGGGGGAGGCTTGGGATGAGGCCTTGATCCTATTGGGAATGATGGGGACAAGGAACTAATCCTGATGGGAATGATGGGAGTGAGGCACTGATCCTACTGGGAATGATGGGAGTGAGGCACTGATCCGGATGGGAAGAGGAGGGATGAGACCCTATGTGGATGCTAAGGATGGGGATGAGTCCTTGATCCTATTGGGAATGATGGCGACAAGGAACTAATCCTACTGGGGGGATTGAGGCGCTGATCCTGATGGGAAGAGGAGGGATGAGACCCTATGTGGATGCTAAGGATGGGGATGAGTCCTTAATCCTGTTGGGAATGATGGCAATGAGTCGCTGATCCTGATGGGAAAGGGGGGAATGAGCCGTAATGTGGATGTTGAGAATGAGTCCTTAATCCTATTGGGAATGATGGGAACTGATCCCAGTGGGAAGGAAGGGGCTGAGTCCCTAACCCTGATGGCAACAAAGAGGATGCGGGGATGTTAGGGCAGAAACAAGCCCTAAATCCCATTGGGATGGATCCCTAATCCCATTGGGATGGATCCTTATTGTCAGTGGGATGCATTCCTATTGTCAGTGGGATGGATCCCTAATCCCATTGGGATGGATCCCTGTAGTCAGTGGGATGGATTCCTCATTCCAATGGGCTGGATCCCCAGTGGCAAGCGGGGAGCAGGCGGAGGGGAGGCCCTGGGGCTGCCGCTGCTCCCGGCTCCCTCCGTGCCGCTCCCATCCCTTGGGAAGCGGCGGCACCGTTCCCGTAGCCACCGGGATCCCCATTCCCGCAGATGGCGGCGCGGGGGCTGCGCACGGCGCTGGTGTTCGAGGACGATCTCCGCTTCGAGATCTTCTTCAAGCGCCGCCTCATGACCCTCATGCAGGAGCTGGAGGCCCAGGGGATCCCCTGGGATCTGATGTGAGCATCCGGGGTAACGGCGGGGGGGATCCCAGCACCGTTCCCAAGCCATTTCCATCCCATCCCCATCCCCATCCCCACCCCATTCCCATCCCTTCCCCATCTCCATCCCACCCCATCCCATCCCCATCCCATCCCCATCCCCATATCCCCATCCCATCCCATTCCCATCCCCATCCCATCCCCATCCCCATCCCATCCCCATCCCCATCCCCATCCCCCCATCCCCATCCCCATCCCCATCCCATCCCCATCCCATCCCCATCCCCATCCCATCCCCATCCCCATCCCATCCCATCCCACCCCCATCCCATCCCATCCCATCCCCATCCCATCCCCATCCCCATCCCATCCCCATCCCCATCCCATCCCATCCCCATCCCCATCCCATCCCATCCCCATCCCATCCCCATCCCATCCCCATCCCATCCCCATCCCCATCCCCATCCCATCCCCATCCCCATCCCATCCCCATCCCCATCCCATCCCATCCCCATCCCATCCCCATCCCATCCCATCCCCATCCCATCCCCATCCCATCCCCATCCCCATCCATCCATCCCCACCCCATCCCCATCCCATCCCATTCCCATCCCATCCCCATCCCATCATCCCATCCCCACCCCATCCATCCCCATCCCCCATCCCATCCCCATCCCCCCATCCCCATCCATCCCATCCCATCCCCATCCCCATCCCCATCCCCATCCCCATCCCATCCCCATCCCATCCCCATCCCCATTCCCATCCCCATCCCCATCCCCATACATCCCCATCCCTTCCATGTCCATCCCCATCCCATCCCCATCCTCATCCTCACTCATCCCCATCCCCATCATCCATCCCCATCCCCATCCCATCCCCATCCCATCCCCATTCCCATCCCCATCCCATCCCCATCCCATCCCCATTCCCATCCCCATCCCATTCCCATCCCATCCCCATCCCATTCCCATCCCATCCCCATCCCATCCCCATCCCATCCCATCCCCCATCCCATCCCCCATCCCATCCCCATCCCATCCCCATCCCATCCCATCCCCATCCCATCCCCATCCCCATCCCATCCCCATCCCATCCCCATCCCATCCCATCCCCATCCCCATCCCATCCCCATCCCATCCCCATCCCCATCCCATCCCCATCCCCATCCCATCCCCATCCATCCCCATCCCCATCCCATCCCCATCCCATCCCCATCCCCATCCCATCCCCATCCCATCCCATCCCATCCCCATCCCCATCCCATCCCATCCCCATCCCATCCCCATCCCATCCCCATCCCCATCCCATCCCATCCCCATCCCATCCCCATCCCTACCCCACCCCCTGTACCCTCTCCCCCAGTTACATCGGCCGGAAGCGGATGCAGGTGGAGCGGCCGGAGCGGGCGGTGCCGGGGGTCCGGAACCTGGTGGAAGCCGATTATTCCTATTGGACGCTGGGGTACGCCCTGGCCCTGCGCGGGGCCCGGAAGCTGCTGGCGGCCGAGCCCCTGGGGAAGATGCTGCCGGTGGACGAGTTCCTGCCGGTGATGTTCGACAAACACCCACTGTGAGAGCATGGGGATGGGGTGGGATGCGGATGGGGATGGGATGGACAATGGGAAGGGCTTGGGAATGGGGCTGGAAGGGATGAGAATGGGGCTGGACAATGAGAAGGGCTTGGGAATGGTGTTGGAAGGGGTAGGAAGGGGCTGGAAGGGATGGGAATGGGGCTGGAAGGGGGCAGGAAGGGATGCGACTGGGGTGGGAAGAGATGGAAGGTCTTGGAAATGGGGCTGAAAGGGATGGGAGTGGGGTGGGAATGGGGATGGACAATGGGAAGGGCTTGGGAATGGGGCTGGAAGGGATGGGAACGGGGCTGGAAGGGATGGGGATGGGGCTGAACAAGGGGAAGGGCTTGGGAATGGAAGAGATGGGAATGGGGCTGGACAATGGGGAAGGCTTGGGAATGGGGCTGGAGAGCACCCAGGAGCTGCGTTCCCCTCCCTTGAGCACTGATCCTTGTGTTCATCCCATTGGGGCCGTTGGTTCCTGCTCCCTTGGGCTCTGGAGCAGCTCCTTCCTCTCCCTATGGATTTCCTGACCTTTGGCCATGGTTTTCCGTGCTCCTTCGGCTCCATTTCCCCTCCAGGGCCCGTTCCGTGGCCCTCGGGATCCCGTTTGTCACCATCACCTCACCTTCCCTGCATCCACATCCCCATCCCCATGGATGCTGCAGGAGCCCCATCCCCATTCCCATTAATGCTGCAGTGGCTCCATCCCCATCCCCATGGATGCTGCAGTGGCTCCATCCCCATCCCCATGGATGCTACAGTAGCTCCATCCTCATCCCCATCCCCATCCCCATGGATGCACCGTGGCTCCATCCCCATCTCCATTTCCATGGATGCTGCAGGAGCTCCATCCCCATCCCCATGGATGCTGCAATGGCTCCATCCCCATCCCCATGGATGCTGCAGTGGCTCCATCCCAATCCCCATGGGTGCTGCAATGGCTCCATCCTCATCTCCATGGATGCTGCAATGGCTCCATCCTCATCTCCATGGATGCCGCCGTGGCTCCATCCCCATCCCCATGGATGCTGCAATGGCTCCATCCCAATCCCCATGGGTGCTGCAATGGCTCCATCCCCATGGATACCACAGTGGCTCCATCCCCATCCCCATGGATGCTGCAGGAGCCGCATCCGCATCCCCATCCCCATGGATGCTGCAGTGGCTCCATCCCCATCTCCATCCCCATCTCCATGGGTACCGCAGTGGCTCCATCCCCATCCCACTGGGACAACCCCCCCCATTCTCCCCCTTTCCCCCCTCTTTCCCCAGCACCGAGTACACGAAGCACTTCCCGCAGCGGGATCTGGTGGCCTTTTCCGCGGAGCCGCTCCTGGTGTTCCCGACCCATTACACGGGGGAAGCCGGCTACGTCAGCGACACCGAGACCTCGGCGCTCTGGGACGATGCGGGCCAGGAGCATTGGGACCACCGGGATGCTCATAGGGATGCTCACGGGGATGCTCATGGGGATGCTCATGGGGATGCTCACTGGGATGCTCACTGGGATGCTCACGAGGATGCTCATAAGGATGCTCATGGAGATGCTCCTAAGGATGCTCAGAGGGATGCTCATAAGGATACTCATAAGGATGCTCACTGGGATGCTCATGAGGATGCTCCTAAGGATGCTCATAGGGATGCTCATAAGGATGCTCACAAGGATGCTCATAGGGATGCTCATCGGGATGCTCATAAGGATGCTCACAGGGATGCTCGCCCGCAGCCGGAGCTGCACCGGGAAGCCCGGAACCCCGAGGTGCTGCAGCCTCGGCTCAGCCCCGCGCCTCGGGATGAGCTCTGATGGAGGGGGGGGAACGGGACCTGGCTTTAAACCTGGGTTTATTTGGACTCCTGGTGTTTGCTCAGTGACCCCCCCCCCCAAAACACCCCCCCCACAATGGGGGTTTAACCCCCCCCCCCCCCCAGGCTCAGTCGCAGCATCCCTGTATCCTGTGGCCATTCCCATGGGAAGCGGGCAGGTCCGGGCGGCTCCTGATGGGAGGGGGGAGAGGGAAACTGAGGCAGGGATGGGGCTGGTACCAAAACCCCCACATTGTGTAATGGGGGGCAAAGGCAATGAAGGGGTCATTGGGTAAAGGGGGGGCAACGGGAACGGGGGGGTCATTGGGTAAAGGGGGACAATGGGAACGGGGGGGCAATGGCAAGGGTTCATTGGGTAATGGGGGGCAATAGCAATGGGGGGGTCATTGGGTAAAGGGGGGTCAATGGCAATGGGGGGGCAGTGGCAATGGGGGGGTTCATTGGGTAAAGGGGGGGCAAAAGGCAATGGGGGGCAATGGCAATAGGGGGGTCATTAGATAATGGGTCATTGGTTAAAGGGGGGGCAATGGCAATGGGGGAGTCATTGGGTAAAGGGGGACAATGGCAATGGGGGGTCATTGGGTAAAGGGGGGCAATGGGAATGGGGGGGGTCACTGGGTAAAGGGGGGTAATGGGAATGGGGGGTCACTGGGTAAAGGGGGGCAATGGGAATGGAGGGGTCATTGGGTAAAGGGGGGCAATGGGAATGGGGGGGTCACTGGGTAAAGGGGGGTCAATGGGGGGGTCATTGGGTAAAGGGGGGTTCATTGGGTAAAGGGGGTCAATGGGGGGGTTTCATTGGGTACCCCCGGTCAGAGCTCGTCGTGGTCCTCGTGGGGGGGGGGGCTGGTGCAGGCCGCGGGGGTCAGCAGCTCCATGAGGTACTCGCAGCGGCTCGGCTCCGTGGTGGCCGTCACCGTGGTCTCGGTGCCGCAGGAGAGCTTCACCTGCGGGGGGGGGGGACAATGGGATGGGGATACCCCAAAGGGACAAGGACACCCTAAGGGATGGGGACACCCCAAAGGGACAAGGATACCCTAAGGGATGGGGACCGCGGGTACCCAAGGATGCAGAAGCAGCATCCTTTGGGGGGGGGGGTACCCATGTGTGTCAATGGGGAGCCCCTCACCGTGGTGGCCCGGTTGGGGCCCTGCCAGCACCCGGTCCCGTGCTCGTACTTCATGGCACTGAAGCGGTCGTGCTCGGGGCCGGCCCAGGAGCCCCACGTCCTATGGGGGGGGGGACACAAATGAGGGGTGGGGGGCACATTTGGGGGTGCTTTATGGGGTGGGGGGGGGGTTCCTTACCCCAGGTTGGTCTCAGCTCCACCGTGCTTGGGCTTCTGGGACACGCGTTTGAAGGGGCACAGGCGATAAATGTACCTGGGGGGGAAAGGGGGGACCCCAATTGCACCCATAGCCCCCCCCAATACCCCCCCCCCCACAATGGACCCAAACCGTGCTCTCCATCATTCTCTGCCCCCTACAATAACCCCCCCCATTGATCACTCAGGGTCCAAGTGACCCCCTCATTTATGACCCCCCTTTATTGCGACACCCACTTTGTGACCCCCCCTTTATTGTCACCCCTTTATTATAACCGCCCCTTTATGACCCCCCCTTTATGATGACCCCCCCTTTATTGTGACCCCCCTTTATGATGACCCCCCCTTTATTAAGACCCCCCCTGTATTATGACTGCCCCCTTTATGATGACCCCCCCCTTTATGATGACCCCCCTTTATTATGACCCCCCTTTATTATGACCCCCCCCCCTTATTGTGCCCCCCCACTCACTCGCTGGTGCCCAGTTCATAGCACTGGTTATACAGGTAGGAGAACTCCCCCTGGGGGCCGAAGTCAAAGCTCAGCTCCTGCTCCAGGGCCCTGCAGGATAAAGAGGGGGGGGGGTGTCAATGTGGGGGGGCACCCCCAAAACCCCTTTTAAACCCCCCTCCTTTGAGCCCACACTTGAGGCAATGGGATGTGCATTGGGAATGGGTTTGGGGTGACCCCCCCCTTTGTTGGGAATGGGTTTGGGGATGACCCCCCCCTTCATTGGGGGGGTTTGGGGGTGCCCCCCCTCACCTGATGGATTCTTCCGTCTCCTTTAGCGCCCTCTCAGCCTCTTCCAGCTCCTCTCGAGCCCTTTGGGCAGCTGGGGGGGGGCACAGGGTCAGGGGGGGTCCCTACCATAACCCCCCCCCATCCTTCAATGGACCCCCCCCAAACCCCCCCCCATTACCATCAATCAGGGCCTGAGTGGCAGCATCAAAAGTGGGGAGCGGGGGGGGCTCCTCAGCCCCCTTCTCTTGGGGGTGTTGTGGGGGGGGCACCTGGAAAGAGAATGGGGTCAATGGGGGGGGCCCATAGGATGCCCATAGGGTTCCATAGGGCCCCCATAGGGATCCATAGGGCCCCCACAGGGTTCCACAGGGTGCCCATAGGGATCCATAGGGCCCCCATAGGGTTCCATAGGGCCCCCCCATCACCACCTTCAGGTCCTCCTCGAGGCCTTCGCTGCCATCGTCTTCCTCTTCCTCCTCCTCTTCCTCCTCCTCCTCCTCTTCCTCCGGGGGGGCCTCATCCAGGGGGGGCTCAGGGGGGGGTGAGGGGGGCTCAGCTTGCTCCTAAATGTGATGGGGGGGGGGCACACATCAACCACGCTGCCCCCCCCCCATAACACTTAATGTAGGACCTACCAAAACACCCCCCCCCAAAAAGACCAAAGGGGGGGGGGGCACAGACCTTATTTTGCCCCCCCAGACCCACCTGGGGTTTATAATGGGGTTCGATGGTGGCCCAGAGGCGGTCCCGGAAAGCAGCAGCATCCATTGGGGTGGGGTCCCCCAACAGGGCCTGGGGGGGGGGCAACTTTAATACATGGGAGGGAGCATGGGGGGGGTATGGGGGGGGTTTGGGGGGGTCTGAGGGGGTTTTGGGGGGGTTTGGGGGGTTCTGAAGGGGTTTGGGGAAGGGTTGAGGGGGTTTTGGGGGGGTTTTGGAGGGGTCTTGGGGGGTTTGAGGGGGTTTGGGGGGATCTGAGGGGGGTTTTGGGGGAATCTGAGGGGGGTTTTGGGGGGTTTGAGGGGGCTTGGGGTGGCTTTGGGGGGCTGTTTGGGGGGTCCCACCTTGATCTCCTCCTCCGAGACGGCTCCGTCCCCATCAGTGTCCAGTGGGGGGCAGGCTCTGAGCTCCTCCAGCGTCACCCTGGGGGGGGGGGGGGGGTGGGGTCCTTGCACGGGGTCCCCCCATTGCCCTCCATTGCCCCCCCATTCCCCCCTCCATTACCCCTCCATTGCTCCCCATTACCCCCCATTACCCCCCCACTCACTGCCCGTCCCCATCCGTGTCCAGCGCTGCAAAGGCCTCCTCTGCCCTGGCGGCCTCTTGGGCTGCGGCGGCCTCGGCCATGGCGGCTGCAGGGGGGGGAAGCATCAGAGACCCCCCCATGGACCCCATAATGAGACCCCCTCCACAGAACCCCATAATGGGAGATGTCCCCCCCGACCTCCATCATGAGTCCCCCATAATGAGACCCCTCTTAGACCCCACCCATAATGAGCCATCCCATGAGCCCTCCCATGAGACCCCCCATCCCTTAATGCGCCATCCCATAATGCCCTCCATCCCATAATGCCCTCCATCCCATAACGCTCTCCATCCCATAATACCCCATCCCATGACACCCCATCCCATAACACCCCATCCCATAATGCCCCACCCCATAGCGCTCGCCATCCCATAATACCCCACCCCATAATGCCCCATCCCATAATGCCCTCCATCCCATAACGCCCTCCGTCCCAAACCCCCCCCATAATAAACCCCCTCCATCCCATAATACCCCCCTCCATCCCATAATACCCCCCCATCCCATAATACCCCCCCCACCCCGTAATAACGCCCCATCCCATAACACCCTCCATCCCATAATACCCCCCTCCATCCCATAATACCCCATCCCATAATACCCGGTACCCTCCATCCCATAATACCCACCCTCCATCCCATAATACCCGGTACCCTCCATCCCATAATACCCCCTCCATCCCATAATACCCCCTCCATCCCATAATACCCCGCTCACCCTCCCGCCGCCGCCGCTCCTCCCCCTCCGCCTCCTCCTTGGCCTCCCGCAGCTCCCGCACGCGCTGCTCCAGCCCCCGCCGCGAGGCCTCGAGCGCCCCCAGGCGGCCCTGGGGGGAGCGGCACCAAGGGACCCCTATAGAGCCCTATGGGACCCTATAGAACCCTATAGAACCCTATGGGGACCCTAGGGAACCCTATTGGGACTCTGTGGAACCCTATGGGACCCTATGGGACCCTAGGGAACCCTATTGGGACTCTGTGCAACCCTATGGAACCCTGTGGGACCCTATGGGACCCTAGGGAACCCTATTGGGACTCTGTGCAACCCTATGGAACCCTATGGGTACCACACCATCCCCTACAGGAACCCTATAGAACCCTATGGGGATCACAGCATCCCCTATGGGACTCTATGGGAACCCAATGGGAACCCTATGGGGATGACAGCATCCCCTATGGGACTCTATGGGAACCCAATGGGAACCCTATGGGGATGACAGCATCCCCTATGGGAACCACAGCATCCCCTACAGGACCCCTATGGGACCCCCTACAGGATCCCTATGGGAACCACAGCATCCCCTATGGGACCCTATGGGAACCACAGCATCCCCTATGTGACCCTATGGGAACCCAATGGGAACCCTATAGGGATCACAGCATCCCCTATGGGAACCCTATGGGGACCCCTATGGGACCCTATGGAACCCAATGGGACCCCCCCATCCCCTGGTACCTGCTTCTCCTGGCGCCCCGCAGCCGCCTCCTGCACCAGGCGCTGCCGCAGGACGAAGCCCTCCCGGAGCAGCTCCGCGCGGCGCTGCAGAGCCTCCCGCTCCTGCCGGCCCAGCTCCCTGCACACACACAGGGGCCTATGGGGACCTAGGGGGGCCTATGGGGGCCTATAGACACCTATAGCACCCATAGACACCTATAGACACCCATAGACATCTATAGCACCCATAGACACCTACAAACACCCATAGACTCCTATAGCACCCATAGCCACCCACAGGCCCCATGGCTCTCACTTGCAGGTGTTGGCACAGGCAGCCCCACTGCTGTACTCATCGGTGGCATCGCAGCAATCTGGGGGGGGGTACAAAGGGGGGGAGGTCAACACATGGGACCCCCCCCGACCCCCACACTGACCCCCACACTGACCCCCACCCTGACCCCTGCCCTGACCCCACCCTGACCCCTGCCCTGACCCCCGCCCTGACCCCACCCTGACCCCCACCCTGACCCCACCCTGACCCCACCCTGACCCCCACCCTGACCCCCCCCGACCCCCACCCTGACCCCACCCTGACCCCACCCTGACCCCCACCCTGCACCCTGACCCCCACCCTGACCCCACCCTGACCCCACCCTGACCCCCACCCTGACCCCACCCTGACCCCACCCTGACCCCACCCTGACCCCCACCCACCGCAGACGCCGTCGTTGACGTGGGCCGAGGGGATGTTCTGGGGCCGGTACCCGGCGTTGGTGCAGTGGAAGCGGCCGTTGGGACAGGCTGCGGTGCCTGGGGGGGCAACACAGGGGGGGTCTAGAGGGGGCATGGGGCCTATAGGGTACAGAGGGGGGCACATAGGATGCATAGGGGGGTCTATAGGATACAGAGGAGGGCATATAGGATACATAGGGGGGTCTATAGGATGCATTGGGGGCCTATAGGATACATATGGGTGCCTATAGGATACAGAGGGGGGCCTATAGGGTACAGAGGGGCCCTATAGGATGCATAGGGGGCCTTATAGGATACCTAGGGGTGCCTATAGGATGCATTGGAAGGCTACAGGATACATAGGGGTGCCTATAGGATACATAGGGGTGCCTACGGGATACATGGGGGTCCTACAGGATGCGTAGGGGGGCCTACAGGACACAAAGGGATACCTACAGGATACATAGGGGTGCCTACAGGATGCGTAGGGGTGCCTATAGGATGCATAGGGTTCCTATAAGATTCATAGGGTGCCTATAGGATGCATAGGGGGCTCACCGGGCTCATCGGAGCCGTCGCGACAGTCGCAATAGTCGTCGTTGACCCAAGCGAAGTCAATGGTGGCGGAGCCGTCGAGGCAGGTGAAGGGCTTGGAGGCCTCGTAGAAGTGGTGGTCTGGGGGGGGCACAGATAGAGTCCCATATAGAGATATATAGAGATGTATGGGGATGTACAGAGTCCCCTATAGGGATGTTTAGGGATGTACAGAGTCCCCTATAGAGATGTACAAAGCCCCCTATAGGGATGTATGGGGCTGATACTCACTGGAGAGGGAGACCCCGCGGGGCCGCAGCACCTCCACGGAGCCCGGAGCCACCGGTACCGGGAGCAGCAGCAACAACAGCGGCAGCAGCAGCATGGCTGGAGGGGCCTATGGGGTACAGCACCTATGGGGTACAGCACCTATGGACACAGCGCCTATAGAACCCCCTATACGGTTCTGGCTTCTCCCTGCTCCCCCCCGCAGCCCCCATGGCCTCTCCCCATCCCCGCTCCCATAGAGGCCCCCATAGGGGTTCCCTATAGCCACCCCCCCCCATAACCCCCTACAGACCCCTATGGAACCGCCCGGTCCTGCGGGGCCCTCCACACGGCGAGGATGCGTGCACCGGAACCGGAACCGGAGGAGGAAGAACGTCCGGCGGCGGCGAGCCCGCCGCCATATTGAACGTGGCTCGTTGGAGCCGCCATATTGTGTGCGCCGCCATGTTGAGTGTGGCTGGTCGGAGCCGCCATATTGAGCAGGGCGCAGCAGAGCTTCCCTCAGGGCGCCGCCATCTTGAGAGCGCTGCAGCAGTGCTTCCCTTAGAGCGACGCCATATTGAATGTGGCTGATCAGGCCCGCCATATTGAGCGTGGCTCGTCGGGCCGCCATATTGTGTGGCGTTGCAGCTCTTCCATAAGGGCGCCGCCATATTGAACGTGTCTCGTGGGAGCCGCCATATTGCGTGCACCACCCTATTGAGCGCACCGCCCTATTCAATGTGACCTCATGGGAGCCGCCATATTGCGTGTGACGCCATGTTGACTGTGGCTTGCAGGAGCCACCATATTGGGAGAGCTGCACGCAGCGCTTCCCTCAGGGCGCCGCCATATTGAGTGTGCCTCCTTGTCGCCGCCATATTGTTTCCTTGTCGCCGCCATATTGAATGTGGCTCATCAGAGCCACCATATTGAGTGTGTCTCCCTGTTGCCGCCATATTGAATGTGGCTCATTGGAGCCGCCATCTTGGGTGTGGCCAGGGGGCCTTCCTTTATTGGGGGTTTCAGTGGGGGTGGGAGGGGGCGGGGCCTGGGGGCAGCACGCGCCGGGAGTTGCCCCGCACCCACGGGTGCTGGAGGACCTCCGCCAGCGGCAGCCGCTGGGGGGCGCTGTAGCGCAGCAGCCGTGTGATGAGGTCACGTGCGCCCTCCGGCACTTCCGGGGGGAAGCGCAGGTCCACCTATGAGAGGGAAGAAGGGGAGGGGCGTCAGCCAATGGGAGGGCAGGGGTTGCCACAGGCCACACCCCTTTGAGGAGGGGGACCCTCCTCCCCCCCAATCCCCTTTGGGGATGCCTCAGTGGGGGGAAGGGGCAATGAGGGACCCCAGTAAAAGAAGGAATGGAGCTGGGGGGCACTTGTGGGTCTCTATGGGGCTGGGGGGCACTTATGGGTCTATATGGGGCTGGGGGGCACTTGTGGGTCTATATGGGGCTGGGGGGTGGCAGTGGGGCCGGGGGGCACTTGTGGGTCTCTATGGGGCCGGGTCCCACCTTGGTGATGCGCCTGTAGGTGTCGGCCACGCAGGGGCTCTCGAAGGGGGGGGCCCCCACGAGCAGCTCGAAGCAGAGCACCCCCAGGCACCAGAGATCGACCTTCTCGTCGTGCGCCCGCCCCTCCACCATCTCCGGGGGGAGGTAATCCAGGGTCCCGCAGAGCGTGCGCCGCCTGGGGGGCACAGACCCATAGCGCCCCGTAGCCACGACCCATAGCGCCCCATAGTACCCAATAGTGCCCCATAACCATGCCCAAACCATGCCCCATAGCGTCCCATAACCATGCCCCATAGTGCCCAATAGCACCCCATAACCGTGCCCAAACCATGCCCGATAGCACCCCCTAACCGCACTCAAACAACACCCCATAGAGCCCCATAACCATGCCCAATAACCATGCCCAAACCACACCCCATACCACCCCATAACCATGCCCAAACCACACCATAACCATGCTCCATAGCACCCCATAACTGTGCTCCATAGCACTCCATAATTGTGCCCCACAGCACCCCATAACCATGCCCCATAGCTCCCCATAACTGTGCCCCATAGCGCCTATAACCCCGCCCCATAGTGCCCCATAACCCTGCCCCACAGCGCCCCATAACCCTGCCCCACAGCGCCCCATAACCCTGCCCCATGGCGGTACCGGAGGGAGGGCGTGTGCACGGACCACCCGAAGTCGGCGATCTTGAGCTCTCCCAGGAAGCCCAGGAGCAGGTTCTCGGGTTTGATGTCCCTGTGGATCACGCGCTTGCTGTGGCAGTACTGGAGCGCGTCCGCCAGCTCCTCCACCAGCTGGGGGGGGCGGACATGGGGGTCAGGGCTGCCCCATAGAGCACCCTTGGCCCCATAGCACAGCCCCATAGAGCACCCGCACTCCCATAGTGCTGCCCCATAGAGCACCCCCAGCCCCATAGGCCCCCCCCCATCCCGTGCCCACTGTGGCCATGTGCGGTGCATCAAAGCACCCACAACCCCATAGAGCACCCTCAGCCACATAGAGCACCCCCCGCCCCATAGCACCCCCCCCGTCCCTGCCTACCGTGGCTGTGCAGGCTGCATCAAAGCACCCGCAGCCCCATAGCACTGCCCCGTAGAGCACCCGCAGCCCCATAGCTCTGCCCCATAGAGCACCCACAGCCTCATAGCACTGCCCCATAGCATTGCCCCATAGAGCACCCACAGCCCCATAGCTCTGCCCCATAGAGCACCCGCAGCCCCATAGCACTGCCCCATAGCACTGCCCCATAGAGCACCCCCAGCCCCATAGCACTGCCCCATAGCGCACCCCCAGCCCCATAGCTCTGCCCCATAGAGCACCCCCAGCCCCATAGCTCTGCCCCATAGCGCACCCCCAGCCCCATAGCCCCACCGTGGCCGTGCGGGTGGCGTCGAAGCGCCCGCAGCGCTGCAGCTCCTTGTAGAGCTCCCCCCTGGGCGCGAACTCGAGGATGAGGAAGATGCGGCGCTCGTCGTGGAAGAAGTTGTAGAGGCGCAGGATGTTGGGGTGCCTTGAAGGGGGCAGCCAATGGGAGCTCAGAACCATAGTGAGCAGCCAATGGGAGCTGGGAGCCCCAAAGTGGGCAGCCAATGGGAGCTAGGAACTGCCCCCCCAAGTGCCACCCCTAAGTGCACCCCCAAGTGTTGCCCCATAACTGCCGCCCCTTAAGTGCCACCCCATAGGTACTGCCCCCCAAGTGCCCACCCCATAAGTACTATCCTACAGATACCGCCCCCCAAGTGCCACCCCATAACTGCCAGCCCGTAACTGCCACCTGCAAAGTGCCAGTCCCCTAAGTACTACCCCACAGATGCCAGCCCCCAAGTGCCACCCCATAACTGCCACCCCTCAAGTGCCGCCCCATAACTGCTGCCCCACAGATGCCATTCCCCAAGTGCCACCCCACAGATGCCACCCCTCAAGTGGTGCCCGTAAGTGGTGCCCCATCAGTGCCGCCCCATCAGTGCCATCTCCCAAGTACCGCCCCATAACTGCCACCCCCCAAGTGCCGCCCCCTAAGTAAGCACCGCCCCCTCAGCAAGCACCGCCCCCCGAGCAAGCGCCGCCCCCACCGTACCGCAGGTGCGCCTGGATCTCCACCTCCCTCCGCAGCTGGTGCTCCAGCCCCTCCTTCTCCAGCTGGGACTTGAAGAGCACCTTGAGGGCCACGAGCACCTTGGAGCCGCGCTCCCGAGCCAGGTAAACGCGGCCGAACTTGCCCCGGCCCAGGGGGCGCCCGACCTCGAAGTCAGCCAAGGAGAAAAGCTTCCTATGGGGGGGGACATAGAGAGAGCATAGAGAGATATGGGGGGAACAGAGAGCCATGGGGAGAGCATAGAGAGCTATGGGAGAAAAGCTTCCTATGGGGGGAGAACATGGAACACATACAGAGAGATATGGGGAGATATGGGGGGGGATAGAGAGAGCTATGGGAGAAAAGCTTCCTATGGGGGGGGACATAGAGCATAGAACACACATAGAGAGCTATGGGAGAAAAGCTTCCTATGGGGGGGGACATAGAGAGAGCATAGAGAGATATGGGGGGAACAGAGAGCTATGGGGAGAGCATAGAGAGCTATGGGAGAAAAGCTTCCTATGGGGAGAACATAGAGCATAGAATACACATAGAGAGATAAGGGGGGGATATGGGGGGGATAGAGAGCATAGGGAGCTATAGGGGCTATGTGGGTAATAGAGAGCTATGGGGGGATAGAGAGAGCATAGAGAGCACATAGAGAGATATGGGGAGCATAGAGAGCTATGGGGGCTATGGGGGGATAAGAGAGCTATGGGGGGCATAGAGAGCTATGGGGGGCTATGGGAGGATAGAGAGCTATGGGGAGCTATGGGAGGATAGAGAGCATAGAGAGCTATGGGGGCTATGGGGAGCATAGAGAGCTATGGGGAAAGCATAGAGAGCACATAGAGAGCTATGGGGGGGCATAGAGAGCTATGGGGGCAGCTAGAGCAAGGGGTCAAGGGTATGGGATGATAGCACCCATAGGTGGGGAACGGAAATGATGGGGAGAGCACAGACACCTATGGGGTACCCATAGCAAGGGGTCAGGGGTTTGGGGTGATAGCACCCATATGTGTGTAATGGGAATGATGGGGGAGGACGACAGGGACACCCCCATCACCCCAGTGCCACCCAAGGGGTCCCCACACCCCCTTATTCAACCCTGCTCCTCCCCATTAGCACCCAGACCCCCCCCCCACTGTCACCAATGGGCTCCCATCACTAAAGGGTCCCCATTGGGTCCCCATTAGGTCACCCATAACCCCCCCCATAACCCCCATTCCCTCAAGGCCCCCCCTCACTCACGGCTGGGGCACAAGCGCTGCCTCCACACCGGCCTCCAGCGGCTCCTGCCGCACTCCTATAGGAACAACGGTGGAGGGGGGGGTGTGGGTCAAAACCCCCCCATAACCCCCAAACCCCCCCCCCATAGCCCCCCCATTACCGGGCACGGCCTCGGCCTCCTCCCCGTCCTTACACGGCACCCTCCGGACGAGCGGCCTGGCCTGAGGGGGTGAATGGAGGAAAGGGGAATGAGGGCGGGGGTCACCCCAATGCCCCCCCTCAATAAAGGGGACCCCCCCGGAGACTCTGGGGGTACCTCGGCCATGGCGGGGTTCACGTTCTCCTTCTCGGCCATAGCGGGGCCTATGAAGGCCGCAAGTGGGACCTGTGAAGGCCGCAGGCGGCGCCGGGAACGAGCGGGAGCGGACCCCACACCCGCCGAGTCCCCGCCGCGCACTGAGGGGACGCAGCTGCTGCCTCGCTTCAAGTCTCCCTCCTCGCCCTCCTATTGGTTGGCGCCCGCGGGGGCGTTGCTCTCATTGGTTACGCGAGGTCTAAAAGCCCGCCCCCGCGCCCCCGAGGGGTGGGCCTCCCTTTCATTGGTTAATGGAGGACCGGCCTGGAAATCGAAAGGGTGCTTCTCATTGGTCGGTTCCTGCTGCGCGCCTAAGAGGGAGGGCGGGATCTCGGCGCTTATTGGTTCACTGAGGGGAAGGCGCAGCCCCCACACGGGTGGTGATTGGAGGGGGAAGACGTCAATCAAGCGTCAGCCAATCAGTCGCGGACATCCCCGAACCACCCCTCGGGGCTATTAACGCATGGGCGCCGCCATCTTGGGCAGCGCAGCCAACGGCTGCAGGGTGCATGTGGTTGCCATAGCGACGGAGGGGGAGGGCACTGGGGACCAAGGAGCCTATAGGAGTCAAGGCGGGGGCCTATAGGGGGTCTTGAGCATCATATAGGGGGTCCTATGTGCCTATAGGGGACATGGGGGGGTCTGTAGGGGGTCTTGGTCTTCATATATGGGGTCCTATGGGCCTATAGGGGACATGGGGGGGGTCTATAGGGGGTCTACAGAGATGATGGAGGGGGGTGGGGGGGCTCCTATAGGGCCCATAGGGAACACAAACACCACCCCAAACCCTATGGCAGCACCACTGGGAGGGGGGGAAGGAATTCACTGCATTTATTGGGTTTCCAATGGGGGAATACAAAGTCAGGATCAGGATGGGGGGGTCAGGATGGAGCCATGGGGGGGTCAGTGTGGGTCCAGGGGGGTCAATGTGGGTCCGGGGCGGTCACCACTGGCTGGGGACCAGGCTCCAGAGGTAGTCAGTGATGAAGCAGTGGGAGTGGAGCCGCCCATCGAGGTCCAGGGGCTGGGCAATGGCAGGGCCGAAGTGAACTGGGGGGGACAGAAAGGGGGGGTAAGCATGGGGGGGACTATAGGGGGGTATGGGGGGTATAGGGGGTATAAGGGAGCTATAGGGAGTCATAGGGGGGTATACAAGGGGTATAAGGGGGCTATAGGGGAGCTATAAAGGGCTACAGAGGGTTATAAGGGGCTATAGGGGAGATATAGAGGGCTATAAGGGGCTATACAAGGGGATATAGGAGGCTATAGGGAGTTATAGGGGGCTATAGGGGGCTAAAGGGCCAATAGGGGGTATAGGAGGGGTATAAGGCGGCTATAGGGGAGCTATAGGGGGGTATAGAGGAGCTATAGGGGGCTATAGAGGAGCTATAGGGGTCTATAGGAGGCTATAGAGGGCTATAGGGGACTATAGGAGAGCTATAGGGGTCACTCACTGCCTTTAACGTGCCAGGGCTTGGCCTCGCTGTCCCAGGAGATGCGGCTGAGCTTGTGGTAGAGGTGGAGGAGGTACCTGGGGGGAGGAGATGTGGGGCTGGAGGGGGGGGCAGATGTGGGGCTGGGGGGGTGCAGATGTGGGGCCAGGGGGGGTAGATGTGGGGCTGGAGGGGGGCAGATGTGGGGCAGGGGCAGATGTGGGGCTGGAGGGGGGGGATATGGGGCAGGGCAAAGGGCAGACGTGGGAGAGGGGCAGATGTGGGGCTGGGGAAGGGGCAAATGTGGGGTGGGGGGAGGGGCAGATGTGGGGCAGGGGGGTGATGCAGATGTGGGGGAGGAGCAAATGTGGGGGAGGGGCAAATGTGGGGCTGGAGGGGGGGTGCAGATGTGGGGCAGGAGCAGACGTGGGGCGGGGGGAGGGGCAGACATGGGTCAGGGGGGGCAGGGGGGGCAGGGTGCTCTGTGCGTGCCCCTCCCCCACTCACTGCGTGCACCGGAGCCCCTCCTCCTCCTTCTCCTCCTCCTCCTCCCGCTCCCGCCTCCGGCCCCGCAGCTCCCGCAGCTCCCGGCTCAGGGCAGTGCCCGCGTGAAGGGAACGTAACGGCCCTGGCATCACCCCTCCCCCAGCCCCAAACCCCCATCAATCCCTATGGGGGACCCCAGCTCCATAGACCTCAATGGGGACCCCAGCCCCATAACCCCCAATGGGGGACCCCAAGCCCCATAACCCCCAATGCCCCCCCAACCCCATGGCCCCCATAACCCCCTTAGCCCCCCAATGGCTCCCCCAACCCCATAGCCCCCATTACCCCCACAGCCCTCATACCACCCATACCACCCCCAGCCCCATAGCCCCCATAGGCTATCCATTGCCCCATAGCCCCCATGGGCTATCCATATCCCCCATAGCCCCATAGGGTATTCGTTGCCCCCATAGGCTATCCATAGCCCCCATAGCCCCCATAGGCTATCCATAGCCGCCATAGGGTATCCATTGCCCCACAGCCCCCATAGGGTACCCATAGCCCCCATAGGCTATCCATAGCCCCCATAGGGTACCCATAGCCCCATAGGGTACCCATAGCCCCATAGAGTATCCATAGGATATCCGTTGCCGCCCCATAGCCCCCATAGGCTATCCATTGCCCCATAGCCCCCATAGGGTACCCATAGCCCCATAGGCTATCCATAGCCCCCATAGAGTATCCATAGGATATCCGTTGCCGTCCCTGATGCCGTCGAGCGCCTCCCGCTGCCTCCGCAGCTCCTCCTGCAGCTCCCGCAGCCGCTGCCGCCCCCTCTGCACCGCGGCCTCGCGCCCAAGCAGCGCCTGCGCCACCGCCTGCTCGGCTGCCCGCAGCTCTGCGGGGGGGCAGGGGGGGCTGTAGGATGCTAGGGGTGCTATAGGGTGCTATAGGCACTATAGGATGCTATAGGGTGCTATAGGCACTATAGGATGCTATAGGGTGCTATAGGCACTATAGGATGCTATAGGGTGCTATAGGATGCTAGGGGTGCTATAGGACGCTATGGGATACTATGGGTGCTATGGGCTGCTATACAACGCTGTGGGTGCTATAGGGTGCTATAAGTTGCTATGGGTGCTGTGGGATTCTATAGGATGCTAATGGTGCTATAGGGTGGGATAGGATGCTAGGGGTGCTATAGGCTGCTATACGCTGCTGTGGGTGCTTTAGGGTGCTATAGCATGCCATGGGTGCTATAGGAGCCATAGGATGCTACAGGCACTATAGGACACTATAGGTGCTATAGGAACTATGGGGTGCTATAAGCACTACAGGATGCTATAGGGTGCTACAGGCGCTATAGGCTGCTATAGGCCACTATGGCCACCATAGGTGCTACAGGCACTATAGGCTGCTATAGGCCGCCATAGGTCGCTATAGGACGCTATAGGACGCTATAGGCGCCCTATGAAGCGGGGCACAGGGGGTACCGGTACCTGTGTCCATGCGGGTGGCCCCGGCCTGCGCCGCCAGGACCCCGCTGTCGCCCCTCGCCTGCAGTTCCAGGCCCTGCCGCAGGAGGGCGGCGGCGCGCTCCGACAGCATCAGCTTGCCCAGCTCGGCGCTCAGCTCCTCCAGCTCCTGCAGCTCCTGCAGCGGCCTGGCCACCATGGCTGCGGGGAAACGGGGCTCAGGCACCGGGGGAACCACCCCAAGGCCCCGGTTCTCCGTTATGGAGCCGAGGGAACAGGAACGGGAGCCGGCGCCGCCGCCATTACCTCCGCTTCGGTTTGAACTGCGCGGGGCTGCACGGAGCATGCGCAACCGGAAGAGGAAGGCGAGAGGCCACGGGGCCGCTCTAGGCCGCTTGGAGGACTTAGGGAGGGAGTCTCTATGGTGTGAGGGAGGGGAGGAGAGCGACGCGTGGAGGTGATGGTCCCGATCCATCGAATCCAACCCGATCCATTCAATCCATCCCGATCCATTGAACCCATCCCTGTCCATCCCAATCCATTCAATCCATCCCTGTCCATCCCGATCCATTGAATCCATCCCTTTCCATCCCAATCCATTGAATCCATCCCAATCCATTGAATCCATCCCTGTCCATCCCAATCCCTTGAATCCATCCCTGTCCATCCTAATCCATTAAATCCATCCTGATCAATTTAAACCACCCCTGTCCATCCCAATCCATCAAATGCATCCCTGTCCATCACAATCCATTAAATCCATTCCTGTCCATCCCAATCCATTGAATCCATCCCTGTCCATCCCAATCCACCATCTCTATCCCTGTCCATCCCAATCCATTAAATCCATCCCTGTCTGTCCCAATCCACCATCTCTATCCCTGTCCATCCCAGTCCATCAGTGTCACCCCCATCCCGTATCCCCAGGCCCCTTCTGATGGCATCAAGCACCAAGTGTCCCCCCCCGCAGGTGACTCCAGGACACCCCATAAGCACCAGGACATTTAATGCCCCCCCCCCCATTGGCTCCAACGGGCTCCGCGCTGTCACTTCCCGGCCTGGGGACACCGCTCCCCGCAGCGGGGACATCGGGAATGGGGGATCCGGCTCTTCCCGGGGATGTTCCAGCACCGCTGGCACCGCACCCGGTACCTCCTGTACCTGCGGGGGAGCTCGGGGTGAGAGCGCGGTCCCCATCCCCATCCCATCATCATCCCCATCCCTGTCCCAATCCCATCCCATCCCCATCCCCGTCCCATCCCCATCCCATCATCCCCATCCCATTCCCCCCATCCCTCCCCTATTCCCATCCCATATCGTCCCATTCCCATCCCATCTCCATCCCCACCCCGTTCCCATCCTATCCCCATCCTATTGAGTATCATCCCATTCCCATCCTCATCCCCATCCCTGTCCCAATCCCATCTCCATCCCGTTCCCATCCCATCCCCATCCCAACGCCATCCCATCCCCATCCCGCTCCCATTCCATCCTTATCCCGCTCCCATCCCTACCTGATGCCGCAGGCATTGCACAGCGGGGTCCCATCCTCCGCCGCCCTCCAGAGCAGGGTCCTCCGTGTCCCGCAGGAGGCGCAGCGCTTGCTCCCTATGGGGGACCCGCACCTTCAGCCCCGACCCCATCCCTGCCCGGACCCCCCCATCCCAACCCCATCCCTGCCCGGTCCCCCCCATCCCTGCCCGGACCCCCCCATCCCAACCCCATCCCTGCCCGGACCCCCCCATCCCAACCCCATCCCTGCCAGGACCCCCCCCCCATCCCCTGCCCGGTCCCCCCCCCCATCCCTGCCCGGACCCCCCCCCCATCCCAACCCCATCCCTGCCAGGACCCCCCCCCCATCCCTGCCCGGTCCCCCCCCATCCCCTGCCCGGACCCCCCCCCCATCCCAACCCCATCCCTGCCCGGACCCCCCCATCCCAACCCCATCCCTGCCTGGACCCCCCCCATCCCTGCCCGGACCCCCCCATCCCTGCCCGGTCCCCCCCATCGCTACCCGGACCCCCACATCCCAACCCCATCCCTGCCTGGACCCCCCCATCCCTGCCTGGACCCCCCCATCCCAAACCCGCCCCCCCAAAGCCTCACCAGGACCAACGGGACCGATCCTCTCCGAGCCGCCCTCCCCGGCCTCGGGGCTGCTCCGCTTGGGAGCCCTGCGGGAAACGGGGGTCAGGGGGGACCCCAAAGCCTCCATGCGGGATGGGGACCCTCCAATAGGGACCGTTAGGGAAGGGGGAAGAGGAGGCAGGGGTCCAGGGGTACCCAAAGATGCAGACGGGGTCCGGGGGTACCCGAAGGTGCAGACGGGGTCCAGGGGTACCCAAAGGTGCAGACGGGGTCCGGGGGTACCCGAAGGTGCAGACGGGATCCAGGGGTACCCGAAGATGCAGACGGGTTCCAGGGGTACCCGAAGATGCAGACGGGATCCAGGGTTACCCAAAGGTGCAGACGGGGTCCAAGGGTACCCAAAGGTGCAGACGGGGTCCAAGGGTACCCAAAGGTGCAGACGGGGTCCGGGGGTCCCCAAAGGTGCAGACGGGGTCCGGGGGTCCCCAAAGGTGCAGACGGGGTCCGGGGGTACCCGAAGGTGCAGACGGGGTCCGGGGGTCCCCAAAGGTGCAGACGGGGTCCGGGGGTCCCCAAAGGTGCCCCCGCCGCCGGTACCTGCACCCGCGGGCGCTGATGAGGAGCCCGCAGCCGTCGGCGCTGCAGCTCCGCAGGTCCAGGCGCATCCTCAGCGTCACCCCCCGGAACCGGGGGTCCCCGGGCCCTGCCCCTCGCTTGGGCTCCGCTTGTTTGCGCCTGCGGGGCCCGCTCAGGCGCTGGCACTGGAGGCTGATGAGGCTCAGAGCATCCCCGCTGCTGCGGGGGGGGGGCACCGGGGCCGCGCCGCGCTGCTCCGGGAGCCCCGAGGGGAGGGGGGGTGCGGGAGGAGCCATTGGGGGCGCGGGGGGGGGCAGGAGCCGCACGGTTTCCTGCAGGAACCGGAGCCCACCCCCGCCGGGGCTGCAGGGAGCGGGGGGGCGCTCCAGGATCCCCCCGGTGATGTCCCCGGGGACGCTGTTAGGGTATGGGGGGGGGGGGTTAAAGCCGTTGCTCGCCCCATAGGGCTGAGCCGTGAGCGGTGCCCGCCCCCCCCCCCGCAATGGGGCATTGGAACCGCCGTGGTACCGGATCATCCCGATGGGACCCTCCCGGTGCTACCGGATCCCTTTTAATGGGACCTTCCCGGTGCTCCCGTTCCCTCCCAATGGGACCCTCCCAGTGCTACCGGATCATCCCGATGGGACCCTCCCAGTGCTACCGGATCCCTTTCAATGGGACCCTCCCGGTGCTACCGGATCCCTTTCGATGGGACCCTGCCGGTTCCTCCCAGTGGGACCTTCCCGGTGCTCCCATTCCCTCCCAATGGGATTCTCCCGGTGCTACCGGATCCCTCCCAATGGGACCCTCCCGATGCTCCCGTTCCCACCCGTGCGCAGCCGCTTCCACCGCAGGTCCGGGGTCGGGGTCGGGGTCGGGTCCAGCTCCGGCCCCGGGTTCGAGTCCCGGTCCCGGCTCGAGGCACAGCAGCCTCTGGAGCACGGAGAAGTCCGGGCTCTGCTCCTCCAGGAACAGCGGCTCCATCCCCGGGCTCAGCCCCGGGCCCGGCCCCGTTAAATGGGCTCCAGCTGCGGAGGGGCGGGACCCCCCCCCACCCCAGGGTACGGAGGGAGCTGGGATGGGGCATCCCCCCCCCTCTTTTACAGCGTTTAATGAACCCAAACCCCACAGAGAGACCCCAACCCCGGCTCCAATGGGGTTTATTACCCATGATCCCAAACGGGGGGGGACCCCAACAACCCCTCCATCCCCAGCATCCCAATGGGGCCGCATCCAGCTTGGTTCATCCATTGTGGAAGGGTCCATCCATGGGGGGGGTGCATCCATAGCGAGGGGGAATCCATCCATGGGGGGGGTCCATCCATTGGTGGGAATCCATCCATAAGGGGGGGTAACCATCCATGACGGGGGGTTATGGGGTGTTCCCCTCCCGCTGTCAATGGGGTCCATCCATCGGAGGGGGTGTCCAACCATAGGGGGGTTATGGGTTCTCCCCCCCGTTGTCAATGGGGTCCATCCATGGGGGGATCCATCCATGGGGGGTGTCCATCCATAGGGGGGGTATCCATCCATAGGGGGGGTTATGGGTTCCCCCCCCGCTGTCAATGGGGTCCATCCATGGGGGGGATCCATCCATGGGGGGGGGGTCCATCCATTGGACGGGGGTATCCATCCATGGAGGGGGTTATGGGGTCCCCCCCTGCTGTCAATGGGGTCCATCCATAGGGGGGGTTTTGGGGTCCCCACCCCACTGTCAATGGGTTCCATCCATAGGGGGGTTTTGGGGTTCCCCCCCCCCCGCTGTCAATGGGGTTTCGGGACGTGCCCATCCACGTAGAAGTTGCGGCTGAGGCGGGGGAGCGTGAAGCGAGCGCCCTCTAGCGCCGGGGACAGGAGGAGCTGGCAGCCCAGGCGGGAGCGCTCCTGCAGCAGCGGCGCCTGGTCCAGGAGATCCTCTTCCCTATGGGGGGCACAGAGAGGACACAACCCCCCCCCACCACACACCCCATGGTTGAGATGGGGGGGAGAATGGGGGGGAAATGGGGGGAAATCAGGGAGAGAATGGGGGGAAAAGGGGGTCATTTGCACCCCCCACCATGGTTGATGGGGGGGGATAGGGGGAAATGGGGGGAAATGGGGATCGGGTTGGGGGGGGCCGTTACCGCTCATCGGGGGGCGGGAGCCGGTCGAAGTGGGGGTCACTGACATAGACGTGACACGTGGAGCAGGCGAGGGAGGCCTCGCAGGCACCTGCGGGACCCCCCCCCCCATTATCAGCACCGGGTCCTTCTCCGTTATCAGCACCGGGACCCCCCCCATTATCAGCAGCGGGACCCCTCCATGATCAGCACCGGGACCCCCCCGTTATCAGCACCAGGACCCCCTGTTATAAGCACCGGGACCCCCCCCCCATTATCAGCACCAGGACCCCCCCATGATCAGCATCGGGACCCCCCGTTATCAGCATCGGGACCCCCCCATTATCAGCACTGGGACCCCCCCGTTACCAGCATCGGGACCCCCCCGTTATCAGCACCGAGACCCCCCCGTTATCAGCATCGTGACCTTCCCCGTTATCAGCACCGAGACCCCCTGTTATCAGCATCGGCTCCTTCCCCGTTATCAGCACCGGGTCCCCCCATGATCAGCACCAGGACCTCCAAATAGATCAGCCCCGGTCCCCCCCCGGTGCCGGTGCCGGTACCGACCCTCCAGCTCCAGCCCGTGCCGCTGCGCCAAGTGCAGGACGTTGTCCCCGACGCGGCCCCGCACCGGGACCTCCCGCCCCGTCCGGTCAACGAAGACGACGTTCACGCTAAGGGGGGGGAGGGGTTAGCACCGGGATCCCCTCCCCCCACCCCTCCCCCTCCTCCCCTCCCCCCATTGCCGGTACCCACGTGGCTCCCTCGGTGCTGCTGCTGAGGCCCCGCACCGCTCCCCGCAGCAGGCACTGCGTTAGCACCCTGGAGGCCGCCATGATGGGCGGCACGTGACCGCGCAGTGGGCGGGGCCAAGGGAGGGAGACGCGCAGGTCCTAGCGCCCGCCGCTACGATGCGTTCTGTATAGTGCCCGCTATAGGGGGCAGGAAGGGGGGGACCCCAATATAGGGGGGGGGGGTTTAATATAGGAAGGGCATGGGGGAGACCCCCAGTATAGGAGGAAAATGTGGGTGACCCCCAATATACGGGAACATAGAGGGGACACCCAATACAGGGGGAGCATTGGGGGGACCCCCATATGGGGGGGGACATGGAGGGGTCCCAATAGAGGAAGGGCATGGAGGGGACCCCCAGTATAGGGGTGGCATGGGGAGGGGGGGGTAGGAAACAACGCCTTGCATTGGGCACCAGCATTGGCCATGCTGGGGGGGGGGGGTACACACAGGATGGGGATAGGGGAGCCCCCCCCCATTGGGAAAGGGGGAAATTCCCAAGAAACGAGGCCAATCCAGCGGCAATTAAGAAAAAGGCAACTTTTAATCCCCAAATCCCTCAAATCCCACACAAAAACACACCCACCCCATGGGTAAAATGGGAATAAAGGGGGGGGGGTCCCGTGTACCCCCACTTCCCTTTATTACCCCAAGCAGTGGGTTAAGGCAGGGATACACAAAGCTCCCAGTTACTGCTTGGGGGGGGGGGGATGATGATGATGATGATGATGATGGGAAGACCCCCTTTACGGGACTGGGATGGGGGGGGGGGTCCTATATTTACCCCCCCCCCAAACTAACCCAAAAGGCCTAAAAAACCCCAAACTGCAGGGAAAAGCATCCCCTGTTTGTATAGGATTTAATGGGGGGGGGGCTAAAATATCCTCTTCCTCTTCAGGTAGGAGTCAGCGTAGTGCCCCCCCAGGCCTTGGGAATGCTGCCCCACATAGCAGCCCTTGGGGCTGGGCTCCAGGGGGGGCAGGAGCTGGGAGAAGCTTCGCTTCTGCCCCCCCCCAGGGCTCTGAAAGGCAAAGAGAAAGGGGGGGTCAATGGGGGGTGGGGGTCAATGGGGGGGGATGGGGTTTGGGGGGGGGGGGGTTGTACCTTTGCTTGGCTGGGGGGGGCCAAGGGGAGGACGGTGTCTGTGGGGCCGGATGGAGGCAGCCGGAGGGCCTGAGGGGGGTAAGGGGGAGGTTAAGGAATGGGGGGGGCACCCCATTATGGGGGGGATAAAGATGGGGCGGTTTATAAAGAGGGGGGTATAAGGGGGGGCAAAAAGGGGGGGTATAATGGGGGAGGTATAAAGGGGGTGATAAGGGGGAGTTTAAAGGGGGGGTATAAAGGGGGGTATAGAGGGGGGATGAAGGGGATATAAAGGGGGGAGTTTAAAGGGGGGGATAGAGGGGGGCTATAAAGGGGGTATAAAGGGGGGGTATAAAGGGGGTATAAAGGGGGTATAAAGCGGGGGTATAAAGGGGGGATAAAGGGGGGATAAAGGGGGGTATAAAGGGGGGGATAAAGGGGGTATAGAGAGGGATAGAGGGGGGTATAAAGGGGGGTATAATGGGGGGTATAAAGGGGGGAGTAAGGGGGAGCATAAGGGGGTTATAAAGGGGGGTATAAATAGGGGTTATAAAGGGGGTATAAGGGGTTATAAAGGGGGGTATAAATAGGGGTTATAAAGGGGGTATAAAGGGGGGTATAAAGCGGGGTATAAAGGGGGGTATAAAGGGGGCATAAGGGGGGAATAAAGGGGGTTAGAAATGGGGGGTATAAATGGGGGTATAAAGGGGGGGCTCTCACCTTAATGTGGCTCTGCTTGAGGCCGGCCTGGAGGCCGCTGGTGAAGTAGGAAGTGGGGGAGCCTGAGTAAAAGAGGGGCAGGGTGGGGGGGGCCCCCCCCCCACGCTCCAGCCCTGGCGAGGAGGGGAGCTGCAAAAGGGAAGGGATGAATGAGGATGGGGACCCCCAAATCCAAGGGGGTGGAACCCCCATTTCCCACCCCCCCCCCCATAACATGCTTGGAATAGGGGGGGGGGGGCATTACCTTGGTCCTGCTGTGCCCGAACCCCCCCAGGATGGCTCCAGCTTGGTCCCGTGTCTGGGGGTAAATCCGGGATCCCAAATCCTTCCCATAGGGATAAAGGGGGTTAAAAAGGGGGGGGTTAATTTAATTAATAAGCTTTTATTATTATTAATTTAATTTAATTAATAACCATTTAATTTACCCCCCCCCCCCCGTTACCGGTTGGCAATCAAAGGTGAAGGCATCCGTGGGCAGGGGTGGTTGTGGGGGGCGGGCTTTGGGGCTGCCCCCCAAGCTCAGGTTCAAGCCTTTGGGGGCAGCACCTGGAAAGGGCCAAAAAAGGGATGGAAAAAGGCGGAATTCCACCCAAAAAAGGGGGGGGGGTGATGGGGGGGTGATGGGGGGGTGATGGGGGGTACTCACCTCCTAAGCTGGGTGGTGGAAGGAAGCTGGGCAGGTTCAAGTAGGGATTTAGGGGGATCTTGAAGTCTTTGGGGGGGTCCCCAAGGAGGGAAACCTATGGGGGGGGAGAATGGGGGTGTCCAATGGGTGCTGATTGGGGGGGGGGTTGGGTGCTGTTGGGGACCCCCCCACCCCCCATTTCCTTACCCCGGCTCCGCTCTCGCTTGGCTTCGGCTTCTGGAGCCCCGTAAGGACGGAGCCCAAGAGGGCCGGGGGGGGGAGCCCCTGCAGGGCCTGGGCTGGGGTTGGGGGGGGAACAGGGGGGGTCAGGAGGGGCCCCCCAGCCCCATCCCAATCCATTCCCACTGGAGCTGGGAAAGCAGCAACGGGAATGGGGGCCCGGGCCTGGGGTACCTCAGGACCTGTGGGAGAGGAGGGATGGTACCGGGATGCATCCCAATCCCAAGGGATAATGGGGAGGGGAAGAGGAGGGATGGTACCGGGATGCATCCCGATCCCAAGGGATAATGGGGAGGGGAAGAGGAGGGATGGTACCGGGATGTATCCTGTATCCCAAGGGATAACGGGGAGGGAAAGAGGAGGGATGGTACCGGGATGCATCCTGTATCCCAAGGGATAACGGGGAGGGGAAGAGGAGGGATGGTACCGGGATGCATCCTGTATCCCAAGGGATAACGGGGAGGGGAAGAGGAGGGATGGTACCGGGATGCATCCTGATCCCAAGGGATAACGGGGAGGGAAAGAGGAGGGATGGTACCGGGATCTGGACCAATCCCAAGGGATAACGGGGAGGGGAAGAGGAGGGATGGCACCGGGATGCATCCCGATCCCAAGGGATCTCCTGCTCTTACCAGTGGGGAGCTCGGACAGGATGGGGCCCGGGGGCTGGGCTGGAGCTGGAGCCAGGGCACTGCGGGGCCGGGAGCTCAGCGGAGCCTCCCCCAGGATTCCCGGTCTCTGTTAAGGATAATGGGAAGTTATCCGGGATCATGGAATTGGGTTGGAAGCATGGGCTCCATTGGTACCCAGGTTATCCGGGATCATGGAATTGGGTTGGAAGCATGGGCTCCATTGGCACCCAGGTTATCCGGGATCATGGAATTGGGCTGGAAGCATGGGCTCCATTGGCACCCAGGTTATCCGGGATCATGGAACTGGGATGGAAGCATGGGCTCCATTGGCACCCAGGTTATCCGGGATCATGGAATTGGGCTGGAAGCATGGGCTCCATTGGCACCCAGGTTATCCGGGATCATGGAATTGGGCTGGAAGCATGGGCTCCATTGGTACCCAGGTTATCCGGGATCATGGAATTGGGCTGGAAGCATGGGCTTTGGGGTTTGGGTTGGGGTGGGGGTTTGGGGTTTGGGTTTGGGTTTGGGTTTGGGGTTTGGGTTTGGGGGGTGGGTTGGGGTTTGGGTTGGTTGGGGTTGGGTTTGGGGTTTGGGTTGGTTGGGTGGGGGTTTGGGGTTTGGGTTGGTTGGGTGGGTGGGTTTGGCACCCAGGTTATCCGGGATCATGGAATTGGGCTGGAAGCATGGGCTCCATTGGTACCCAGGTTATCCGGGATCATGGAATTGGGCTGGAAGCATGGGCTCCATTGGCACCCAGGTTATCCGGGATCATGGAATTGGGATGGAAGCATGGGCTCCATTGGTACCCAGGTTATCCGGGATCATGGAATTGGGTTGGAAGCATGGGCTCCATTGGTACCCATTGGCTCGGGAATGCCGGGAATGCCGTGTTCCCATCCCAACCACCCTTTACATGGACACCCTCTCCCCAGCATCCACCTAACCCCCCTTGGAGCACCTTGCCCCATCCCTTGGGATCAGAGCCCCCCCCCCATTCCCATCCCTGTTTTCCCATGAGGCATTCCCAGAGAGGGCCGGGAAAGCGGGAACGCCGCCGCCCCGTTACCTGCTGCCCTCGGTGCTGCAGCAGCAGCTGCAGGAGCGCGGTGGCCAGCGCCGGGTTGCTCACCAAGGGCACAGAGGGGGCAGCTCCCAGGATGCCTGGCGGGGGGGGGAACATTCCAGAGCCATGGAATTGCTTCCACCACGGCGTTCCCTTGGGATCCCCCCCGGGTTTTCCTTACCCTGCTTCCCGCTGGGCAGCAGCGGAGCCAGGAGCAGCTGCAGGGATGCGGGGTTGCCCAAGCTGCTCAGGATCTGCAGGAGGCTGGGCTCTGGGAGCAGCCCCTTGCCGCGGGTCAGGGCCTTGGGAATGAAGGGGGGTGAGGGAAGGATCCCATGGAGTTCCCTGGGGATTTGGGACACCCCCACCCGCAACAAAGCCCGGGTTCTGGGAGCAGGGGAAGGGAAGGGGTGACCCTTCCATAGGGAATGGGGTGGGGGGTGGCAGGGGTGCACGGCAGCATGGGGAGGGAGCGGGTGGGAGGGAATGGAACTGGGGAAGGGAAGGGAACTGGGAAAGGGAAGGGAACTGGGAAAGGGAAGGGAATGGAACTGGGAAAGGGAAGGGAATGGAACTGGGGAAGGAAAAGGAATGGAACTGGGAAAGGGAATGGAACTGGGAAAGGGAATGGAACTGGGAAAGGAAAAGGAATGGAACTGGGAAAGGGAATAGAACTGGGAAAGGGAATGGAACTGGGAAAGGGAAAGGAAGAGAACCAGGGAAGGGAAGGGAATGGAACTGGGGAAGGGAAAGGAACTGGGAAAAGAAGGAAATCAATGAAGGAAACTGGGAAAGGGAAGTAAACTGGGAAGGGAACTGGGAAAGGGATGGGAACTGGGAAAGGGATAGGAACTGGGAAAGGGAAGGGAAAAAAACTGGGAAAAGGAAGGGAAAGAAACTGGAAAAAGGAAGGGAAGGAAACCAGGAAAGGGAAGGGAAGGAAACTGGGAAAGGGAAGGGAATGGAACTGGGAAAAGAAGGAAACCAGGGAAGGAAACTAGGAAGGGAAGGGAACCAGAGAAGGGATGGGAACTGGGGAAGGGAAAGGAACTGGGAAAGGGACTGGGGAAGGGAAGGAAACTGGGAAGGGAACTGGGAAAGGAAAGAAACTGGGAAAGGGAAGGAAACCGGTAAAGGGAACTGGGGAAGGGAAAGGACAGGAATGGAACGGGAATGGAACGGGAACGGAACAGGATCCCCACCATCGCCTGGGCAGCGGTGAGTGCCGCCAGCATGCTGCGGCCGGGCGGGCCGGGCGCGCAGAAGGAGACGCGGACGTGATTCCCGGCGAGCGCGATGCCGTCGGTGGCCTCCTGCACCAGCTCGGCCAGCTCCGGCGACTCGTACTCCAGTACGGCAAAGCCCTTGAGCTGCCCGTCCTGCCCATAGGCCAGCTGCAAGGAGAGCGGGGTGAGCAGGGCAAGGAGCATCATTCCCAATGGGGATCCCCCAACTCACCTGGCAGAAAGCGGGGGCGCCGGCGGCCGAGAAGAGGCGGCGCAGCTCTTCCCGGTCGGAATAGCCATGGGGCAGCTTATCCACACACAGGCACTTGGAATGGAGCAGCTCCGGGGTCAAGTGGTTCGCATCCATCCAGTGCACGTAGAGGGTGCGGGTACCCAACTGCTTGCCCAGTAACTCCAGTTTGGCTCGCGCCGCCGCGTCCTTCTTCATGTATTCCACGAAGCCGTAGCCTTTGGAATGGCCGCTTTTGGGGCTGTAGACCAGGAAGCAGCGCTCCAGGTTGCCAAAGGGGCGGACGAGGTCCTCGAACTGCTGCTGGCTGAGCAGGAGCGGGAGGTTGGCGACGCACAGGAGGGCATCGGTGCACTGGAGCTGCACCGAGAGCTCGCGCTCGCGCAGGCGGCTCCGGTGCAGTTTGGCGATGGCGGCGTCCGCCTGGTCCCGGTTCAGGAGGGTGACGAAGGCTGCGGGGTGGGAAAAGGGGTGGGATGGGAGGCAGAGGGGAAGCGGCGCCGTTGGACCCATCCCAGTAGCCCGGTGATGCCATAGGGAATAAAGGGGAGGGGGTTGAGGGGACCAAGAGGGGGAAATCAGCAGGGAATGGGATTAGGAGCATCCTGGTCCAAGCTCTAATGCACATTAGAATGTCCAAAGCATCTCCATTGGACCCATCCCAGTATCCCAGTGATGCCATAGGGAATAAAGGGGGTTGGGGGTATGACCAAGAGGGGAAAATCATCAGGGAATGGTTGGGAATGGGCTTAGGAGCATCCCGGTTCAAGCTCTAATGCACATGAGAGCATCCAAAGCATCTCCATTGGACCCATCCCAGTATCCCAGTGATGCCATAGGGAAAAAGGGGGAGGGGGTTGAGGGGACCAAGAGGGGGAAATCAGCAGGGAATGGGCTTAGGAGCATCCTGGTCCAACCTCGAATGCACATGAGAGCATCCAAAGAGTCTCCATTGAACCTATCCCAGTGATGCCATAGGGAAAAAAGGGGGGGGAGTATGACCAAGAGGGGGAAATCAGCAGGGAATGGTTGGGAATGGGCTTAGGAGCATCCTGGTCCAACCCCGAATGCACATGAGAGCATCCAAAGCGGCTCCATTGAACCCATCCCAGTATCCCGGGACGAGCTTCCCTGTATCCATCCCGAACTTCCTGGTTTCATCCCCTTGTCCCATCCCACATCCCTGCCGCCATCGGGAGCTGCTCTGAGGTTCCAGCCTGAGCATTCCCAACCTTCCAAGGGGGGTTCCCACCAGCGCATCCCAAGGCCTCGGCCATGGATTTGGGATCGGGATCGGGATACTCACCGGTCCCTTTGCCCTTATCCACGAAGCAGTACTTGAGCTTGTAGTCACTGAGCAGGTCATGCACTTCCTATGGGAACGGGAAGGGTGGGATCAGCGGCTCCTTCCCAGCCCAATCCCTATGGAGCATCCCACAGCCGGGATAACGGAACCCATAGGCCTCAATGGCTACAACCGGTCGCGTTTTGCCCTCCGGGATAACGGGAAGAGGGGAAGGGAACGAGGGGCCGGGGCCGGATCCCTGCTCCCGGTGATCCCAAGGGATAAAGGCAAGGCTCCAACGGGCCCCCATGGCTCCCGGTAGCCGGTACCTGGTTGCTCACGTCCGCCGGGAGCCCCCGGATCAGCAACTTCCGGCGGTTCCGGAACTGCCGGGCGCTGCGGGCCAAGCGGCTCCGCACCTCGGCCCGGTCCAGCGGCGGCAGCGCCTCCTCCGGGGCCCGGCCTAGGCCGCGGCCTAGCTCCGGTACCGGAGCCTCCGTAGGCCCCGGCGCCGGTACGGACAACGCGGCCGCCATCTTGGGCACTCGCCGCTTGCGGAGGGCTGTGTTAAAAGGCGCTGTCTCATTGGTCGCGGCCGCTGAGGCGGGGAGTGGACGAGGTAGGGGATTGGGCAGAACGAAACAAACGGAGGCGGGAGTAACGCGGCTCGTTATTGGATGGACACGGCTTTTTTTATTTTGTGTCCCGCGCTCTGATTGGACAGGAGGCGGCGAGCCCAGCGCTCTGATTGGACGATTACCAGGCTCTGATTGGACGATTACCGCGCTCTGATTGGATGAGTCGCAAAGGACCCTACCGCCCTATAACCCCCTATAGAGACCCCCCCACAGGGGTTCCTGACCCCCCCTGCCCCATAGGGCCCCCGACCCCCCATAGGCCCCCCATAAACCCCCCCAAGAGGCCATAATGGAGCTGCTTGGGGCCATTACATCCTTTATTGGGGGGGAGGGAGAAAAAGGGGGGTCCCCCCACCCCATCGCCCCCCCCACTGCTGGGTGTGGGGGGCAATAAATAAGGGGGAGCCCCATAGAGCAGTGCCCCCCCCTTAAAGTGCCACAGTCCTGGTGCTGAAGCCCCATTCACAGTGTTCGGCCTCATCCCGGCCCTGGGAATACCGGGAATGGCAGCATCGGGATGCAGGGATCCCCCCAATGCAGTGCTATGGGGAGCAAAGAAGGGGGGTCCCCATTGTGTCCATCATACCCCCCCCCATTAACAGAGGCTGAAGACGGAGGGGGCCTGATCCCGGTATTTCTCCTGGAAGCTCCGGAGCAGGGGCACGAGGTTCTGGAACGCCGGCCGGAACGAGGCCTCCGCTTCCCAACAGCTCCGCAGCAGGCGGTAGAGCTGGGGGGCAGAGATGGGGCGGGATGGGACCGGGAGCAGCGCCCCCCAAGTCCTGTTCCCCCCCTTTTGTCTCTTCCCCACTTTTCCTCTTTTCCCACTCTTCCCACTTTTCCCCCCACTTTTTCCCCTCCTTTTCCCAATTTTCACCCCCTTTTCCCAGTTTTCCCTTTCCCTCCACTTTTTTCCCCTTTTCCCCCATTTTTCTTCCCCACTTTCCCTCTTTTCCCACTTTCTTCCCCGCTTCTCCCAATTTTCTTCCCCACTTTTCCCTCTTTTCTCACTTTCTTCCCCACAGAATACATGGACATGGACACACAGATATGGACACAGGGATACATGGATATGGATACATGGACACAGGGACATGGACATGAACACATGGATACACGGACATGGGCACATGGATACGGACGCATGGACATGAACACATGGATATGGATACAGGGACTTGGATACATGGATATGGCCACAGGGGCACATGGATATGGACACAGGGACAATGGATATGGACACAGGGATACATGGATATGGATACAGGGACACATGGATACATGGATATGGACACAGGGATACATGGATATGGATACAGGGACACATGGATACATGGATATGGACACATGGATACATGGATATGGACACACGGATATGGACACATGGATATGGATACAGGGACATGGATACATGGATATGGACACACGGATATGGACACATGGATACATGGATATGGATACACGGATATGGACACAGGGACACATGGATATGGATACACAGATACATGGACACGGGCATGGATGCAGGCCTCGGCGTCAGCCTCACCTCTGGGGGGCAGTCCCTGGGGCTGGGCAGGCGGCGGCCGCGCTCCAGGAGCTCAATGAGCCTCAGCACCGTCATCTGCCCCTGCGTGGGGCCCAGCAGCTCCAGGAACTTCTGCGGGCAGGGGGGGAACAGGGAAACGGGGAGCCCTGAGCCCGGGATCCTCATCCCGAACCTGATCCCATTCCCGATCCCGACTTCATTCCCAATCCTAATCCTGATCCCGATCCTGATCCAGATCCCATTCCCAATCCTGATCCAGATCCCATTCCCGATCCCGACTTCATTCCCGATCCCAATCCTGATCCAGATCCCATTCCCGATCCCAACTTCATTCCCAATCCCGATCCTGATCCTGATCCCAAACCCATTCCAGATCCTGATCCCGATCCCATTCGCAACCTCATTCCCAATCCCGATCCTGATCCCGATCCCAAACCTATTCCAGATCCTGATCCTGATCCCAATCCCATTTCCAATCCCCATACCATTCCCATTCCCAATCCTGATCCCAATCCCATTCCATATCCAGATCCCAATCTCATTCCAGATCCAGATCCCAATCTCATTCCAGATCCCAATCCCATTCCCAATCCCATTCCCAATCCCGATCCCATTCCAGATCCCAATCCCACTCCCGATCCCGGCCCCATTCCCGGCCCTCACCACGGGCGGGCTCTGCCCCCCGTCGCAGCGCGTCAGCAGCTCATAGAGCGTCACCCCGAAGGACCACACGTCCGAGGCGTACGAGAACTTGCACTCCTTGAGGCACTCCACGGCGTACCTGCACCCATCAGCACCCATCAGCACCCATTGACACCCATGAGCACCCATGAGCACCCATTGACACCCATCAGCATCCACCAGCACCCATCGGCACCCATGAGCACCCATGGGCATCCATCAGCACCCATGAGCATCCATCGGCACCCATCAGCACCCATGAGCACCCATCGGCACCCATCAGCACCCATCGGCACCCATCAGCACCCATCGGCACCCATCAGCACCCATCAGCACCCATGAGCACCCATCGGCACCCATCAGCACCCATCAGCACCCATGAGCACCCATGAGCACCCATGAGCATCCATCAGCACCCATCGGCACCCATGAGCACCCATCGGTACCCATCAGCACCATGAGCTCCATCACACCCATCCACAGTGGTACCCACCAGAACACGGGGCTATCCCCATCCTCCCGCACCCGGTAGTAGTCACCCATGAGCATCCATCAGCACCCATGAGCATCCATCAGCACCCATCAGCACCCAACCCCAGAGTGGTACCCACCAGAACACGGGGCTGTCCCCATCCTCCCGCACCCGGTAGTAGTCACCCATTGGCATCCATCAGCACCCATCAGCACCCATCAGCACCCATCAGCACCCCCCCACAGTGGTACCCACCAGAACACGGGGCTGTCCCCATCCTCCCGCACCCGGTAGTAGTCACCCATGAGCATCCATCAGCACCCATCAGCACCCATCAGCACCCATCAGCACCCCCCCAAACTGGTACCCACCAGAACACGGGGCTATCCCCATCCTCCCGCACCCGGTAGTAGTCACCCATGAGCACCCATCAGCACCCATCATCCCCCCAGAGTGGTACCCACCAGAACACGGGGCTATCCCCATCCTCCCGCACCCGGTAGTAGTCACCCATGAGCATCCATCAGCACCCATCAGCACCCATGAGCACCCATCAGCACCCCCCCACAGTGGTACCCACCAGAACACGGGGCTATCCCCATCCTCCCGCACCCGGTAGTAGTCACCCATGAGCATCCATCAGCACCCATGAGCACCCATCAGCACCCATGAGCACCCCCCCACAGTGGTACCCACCAGAACACGGGGCTGTCCCCATCCTCCCGCACCCGGTAGTAGTCGTGGCCCTCGGGGATGGCTTTGGCCAGGCCGAAGTCCCCGATCTTCACCCGGTGCTCGCTCTCCAGCAGCACGTTCCGGGCTGCCAGGTCCCGGTGGATGTAGTGCAGGGAGTGCAGGTAGGCCATGCCCTGCGGGGGGACACGGGGCAGGCCCTCAGGCAATGGGAACGGGGTGGGTTTAGGGCCGGGGGAGGGCTGGAGGAGGCCTCACCTCGCAGATCTGCTGGGCGAAGAGCAGGACGTGGGCCAGGCTCACGCTGTGCTTGGGCAGGTAATCCCGGAGGCTCCCCAGGGGCACGTACTCCATGATGAGCTGCACCACCCGGTCCCCTGCGGGAGGGAAGCCAGGGAGAAGGCACCCAATTCCCTATGGGAATCGCTGCCACCCCCCCTAGAACAGGGGGTTGGGAGGGGCTGGACCAGCAGGGAATGGGGATGGGGGGGAAGGGACCTGGAGCTCATCCCGAGGCCCTGCGCTAAAGCGGGGTGCTCCAAGGGATGGGGCAGCCAATCCTGCTCCATTGAACCCATCCCAGTGTTCCCAGTGAACCCATCCCAGTGTTCCCAGTGAACCCATCCCAGTGTTCCCACTGAACCCATTCCAATGTTCCCACTGAACCCATCCCAGTGTTCCCATTGAACCCATCCCAGTGTTCCCACTGAACCCATCCCAGTGTTCCCACTGAACCCATTCCAATGTCCCCATTGAACCCACCCCAGTGTTCCCATTGAACCCATCCCAGTGTCCCAGCCCAATCCCAGTACTCCCACTGAACCCATCCCAGTGTCCCAGCCCAATCCCAGGCTTCTCCATTGAACCCATCCCAGTGTTCCCATTGAACCCGTCCAGGTGTCCCCATTGAACCCATTCCAGTGTCCCAGCCCAACCCCAGTACTCCCACTGAACCCATCCCAGTGTCCCCATTGAACCCATCCCAGTGTTCCCACTGAACCCATCCCAGTGTCCCCACTGAACCCCTCCCAGTGTTCCCATTGAACCCATCCCAGTGTCCCCATTGAACCCATCCCAGTGTCCTCATTGAACCCCTCCCAGTGTCCCCCCTGAACCCATCCCAGTGTCCCCATTGAACCCCTCCCAGTGTTCCCATCCCAGCATCCCACCCCGCTCCTGGGACCACCTTCCTTGTGCCCCCCATCCCTGCACCGATGCCTTCCCCTTTATCCCTTCCAGCATCCTTCATCTCCGGAGCTGCTCCCTATGGCTCCTGCTCCCCATCCCCTTGGTCCTCACCCCTCTTTTGGGTGCTGGCCCCAGCCCTATGGGTGCCCCCCTGACCCCATGCGCCCATGGGTGCCCACCCTGCTCGCTGCAGCACCCCTTGTACTTGACGATGTTCTCATGGTAGAGGGTCTTGAGGATCTGGATCTCCCTTTTCCAGCTGGAAAGGAGCTCCCGGCTGGATCCGGCCTTGAGGGACTTCACGGCCACCATCTCCCC